GGGGGGGAGATGTTCATGTTGCTGCGGTCTGCAGTCTGGACGCTAGATGTCTCTAAAAATTACACACTGTAGCTTTAATATTACTAAATTTTTGTGAGTAGATGTCTGATCATTTCTAAACAGGCTAATCATGCTAGGATTACCCTGATGTCAATGGTTTGTTGCTTATGCTCAACCCAGACTGAGAAATTGTTTAGTTTGCTTTTTATATCTTAAAATACATATGTGGCATAATTCATTATCTTTTTTTATGTAGCCTTCAAGTAAACTTTACATCTCCAGTTGGATTAAAGCACTGAAAAAAATGAATTTACTAGGCTGCTTTTTCTCACTGACCCGCCTCCTGTGTTGTCCCCGCAGGTGATTCACCGGTGGGTGCCTTGTAGCCGAGACCCAGCCAGTCGCTCCCATATCAACAAAACCATCCTGCTGGTACAGGTGGAAGATAAGCTAGTGCCCATTATTGAGACTGGGGTCATTGAGTTGGGTGCTGAGGTTTGAGACTATATGGAAAGCACACGCAGCCGCACACATGTCCTAGTGACAGCCAGACCCACTCCCATGGCTTTCAGCAGGGTGCAAAAAAGCCGCATTTAACGGGGAAACGGGAGCCTCCCCCCTCGCTCCCATTCCTTAGCGCTAAAGGGGAAAAGGAAGCCTGGGAAAAGTGCAAGCATGGGCAGAGTCTACATTTATCTACCATGCTTTACTGCTTCAACATACATCCACACTATCTGCCTTGAGCTGCATCTCAGAGATGCTGCCTGACGGTCAACAACCCGCCGACGGTTATTATTTGCTACTGGTGATTGATTTCTATGCATTGCATCCAGTTTTCTCAGATTTACGACAAACTGCAAGACGCTTGAGATTTATTTTCTTCTCTTATGTAAATCCTTTAAGAATTTGCCAAATAATTCTTTTGTTTATTGTTTGCCATGGTTTTATACAACTGAAAGCTTTCTTGTACTTTTTTTTTTGGGCTGCCAAGCCTGCAGATTGTTGTCATGTAGAACGGAGAAAAGAGCGCCGTTCCCAACCAACTCAGTTTGATTGTTGTCATTCCTTTTTTGTGGATTATTTTAATTTTTTAATTTTTTATTTTTTTTGCAAGATTAAGCTGCCTAAAGAAAAAAAAAACTTGCACTACTTTCTTTTGTTTTGTTCTTTTTTTACAGTGATGCACTACAATCTTTAGATCACTTTTTATTTGACTCTGAATGACCATGGTTACCGATGCCTTGGGGAATGACAAAATGCAATCATTATTCTGTTTTCTGACATTTTTATTTCAATTTTTTTCTGTTTGATAAACTTGAATATAACTTTTTACTGTATATGAATTTATCTATACATATATATATTTACACAAATATATATTATGTCTATATATAAAAGATTTTGTTTTGAATATTTATTACTGTGAACATAGTATTTACACTTTGTTGGATTGTTTTTTTTTTGGGACAAAGCTTAATGTATTAAGGACCATCGGTTGAAAACAAGATGCCACTTTTTTGATGGACTGTTTCACTATTTAACTTAATTTTTTTCTATATAAAGAAATAAAAAGTTTGATTTATTGCTCTCTTTATTGCATCTCCTAATTTTTTTATGGTGTTTTATTTATGAATTCAGGTGTTGATATTGATTTAAGAACAGTTTTACAGTAACTTTCAAAAACATTCTTACCACTTTAAATCTTTCCTATTTTGTCATGTTACAGCCTCAAACTTTATTTATTTGGGTTTTATCTGATTGAACAACAAAAAGTAGGGGATGAGACAGAATTTATTTGAGAAGCAAACTGGGTTTTATAAATGGTTACAAATAAAAATTAAAAATATTGCATGCTGTTTTTATCTTCCACCTTTTTAATTTTAACCCTGAAATAAGATCCCCTGTGGTTAGTTAAATAGAATAATTTCCATCTTAACTATCATACTAGGCAAGAGGGACTCTTATTGAAGAAGCAAACAAAACTAAAGGAACTGCATAAACCAAAGCTGCAGTTAGCCATCTGCTTAAGAAATCCTGCCTCTTTTAAATACCGTAGTTCATTTTTACGCAATGCTAAAAGTAAAAAGTTTTTAACATTTAGGAAAACATGAGAGTAAAACACATTAAATTCAGAATTTTTGGGGAAGGGGAGATGTGGGACACAGGAGAACAGTAGCAATAATTTCATGTTGGAGAATTCATCAGGCAGGTTTGAATGAACCCTTGTAAGGAAATATGTTAGAGAACAATATCCAATCAACCTATGTGAGCTTAAGTATTTTACAAAAAGATATACCAAGATCAAAAATTGCAGCAATAAATAGCCAACAGAAATTGTATTAAAAATGATTATGGATATATGTACAGGATTTTTACTCCTGTGATCTACAAATGTCTTGCCGTAAAAAAGTACAAACTGATGTTTAAAAAGACAAAATTATTCCTGCTGTTCAACACTTAACTTTACTCCTACATATCCATAACATTGCTAAAACTCCATGTTTTTATGTGTGTTTTTTTTGTTGTTGTTTTTTTTTGGGGGGGGGGCTTATCTTAAGTGTGATTTTAGTACATTTACACACGTCTTGTTCCTGGGAAACTATTATCTGAAGAACATTCTATCCACATTTCAGAGTAGCACTGATGTGAGAAACATCAATCATTTGTCAAAGGGTAATCTTTATCTTTATAAAGATTTTTTTAAGGCAGTGCTTAAGAATATATGATGAAAAGCAAAAGTGGTACAAACAGATCTACAGGTTAACAGAATGACAGCCAATTTTTTTTTTTTAAATGCTGGGTATTGCATTTTGCCCAAACGTTGGCTTCATGGATGTTTAGTGATTGCAACCAAACAGCAGATCTGAAGAACTGTTGTAGTCTGTTGGATTCCAAGAGCTTTTTAAAGTGGGACCCATTATTATTCACAAACCAACATTCTGAACAACAATGTGTCTTTTAAGTTCTGACACAGACATGGCAACTTCAAATTTGTTGTAAAAATTCAGAAAATTATTTTCATAAAATAAACGGCAACATTCAGTGTTTGATGCAAATGGCAATGGATTGCATTGATCGCTGTGATTCACTGCAGAGCTATGGTTGTGAAAATGTAGTGGAAGCCACCAGGGGACTGTCTTTGGTGGCCAAGATCAGTTATTTATAAGTTCAAACTTCCTTGTGTAAAAGGCATCAAAGTTAAATTAACAAAAGCAGAATTTCTGATCGATTTTTCTTGCTGTTATACTTACTCCTCCCTCCCTTGCTTATCACAGTTAGCAGAACAAGGGTCAAGCATTAGTATAAAGGTGTTCACCAATAGCGACTGTGTTTTACTGTTTGTGTGGTAGCATAGTTTGTTTCTTTTTAAAAGAAAAAGTTTTATATAGGCCTACATAGCAGCCATGTTGGATTTAGGGGATTAGATTTAGTAAAGAATAACAGAAATAAAAGTAAATTTTTGAATTTTACCACTGGAAACATACTGGTATGTGTTGTATCTTTGCTCCTTGGGAATACTTCATACACTAAAGGCAGTTGGGCTCCTCTTTGGTTTACAGAACCAAATTACATTTGAACAAAAAAAAGTCAACTACATTAAGTTATTATTCCTATATGACACAACTACAATCTAATTAGTTTAATTTGATTCATTAAGTTTCATAGACTTGTACTTTAAAAGTCTTTGGCACAGCGTAGTGCTAGTCAGAGGTGTGAAAAGTATTTATGTTTATAAAACACTTTTGTAGACGTTAGAGTATCATCTGCAGCTTGTTTACTCAAGTAAAAGTGTAAAAATACCATTCTTAAAATTACCTTAAAGTATAAAATTTGAAGAATTGCAGGAAAAATTGTTAAGGGCAGAAGCTTTAAACCTTTCACTGATTACTACAATACCTTATTAAAGTAACAATGCTGGATGATACATTTGTTGTAGTATAATTTTAACTTTAAATCATCTTGAAAAACAATTTATTTTGTTATGTGGTAAACAACTACCGGTAGTTGGTTCAGTACTGAGTCCAACAACAAGGAAGTTAGTTTTATGGATAAAATCATTTATTGTGATAGTTTTTATTTAAATACCAACAGGCCATAACGAAAATAGCTTAAACTAAGCAAAACTAACAAATCTGTTTTTGAATGTAAGGCATAGAGAGTGGAGATAATTGCAAAAACATTTAGCGAGTAGAAGTAAAAAATTATCTGAAAAATAATTACTCCAGTAAAGTATAGATAGCCAACATTTCTACGTAAGTACGGTAACAAAGTATTTGCACTTTGTTGCTTGACACCTCTGGTGCTAGTAAAGCTTAAAAATTACAATTGCTGAACAAGGATTTAGTCATGTGGTCAACATAGACAGGCCCGGTTTACAATAGGGAAGTGTGGTTTACTTAGTGTGAATTTTTTTTTTTTTTTTATCCCAATGTGTCAGCAAAAGCCTTATTAACAATCATGAGTTTATTATATGATCATCAACATATACATATTTTCAATGTTACAAAGGTTATAAGGTCTTGTTCACGATTCCAATAACACTATTGGCTGGAAATGCTGATTTCCAAAATATTTCACTGAGTGGTCTATAAAGTGTTAATTGGGTATAGAAAAACAATGTATGGATATCTGGCATTTGTTTCACCTCAAGTGTTAAATTTTGTAAGAATTTGGTTCATGCTTCTCTGACCAATTTTTTAGGGGTAGGAATGCTGCAAATATGTCAAATTGTTGTTGTTTTCAACCCAACAGTTTTTAGAGTGAAACTGACCTTAAAAACCTACATAGGTTACACATACACAAGATCCTAAATTAGGTCCTCCTGCTCTGACCATTATTTCGTGATATACTCATAATGATCTTCCAGAGGCCAGTATAGACGTTGGTGAGAGATGACACAGCTGTTTTTATCAATGCCAAAAATCCTTAAGTGCAAGAAGTATTTATTCATTATTCCTTACACACATAGAGAATGTTAAATGTGAAAACTGGAGCCTAGGTGGAAGTTCAACTGAAGAAACTCATTGCTTTTCCTACATCCACCTGCAACACAGCGAATCAGCTTTGAACCATACCTCCACGAAAGCCAATCAGCATCCAAAGTTCATCTTAAAAGGCCTCCCATACGCACCTTTCTGCTCCTGTGTGCAGGCGGCGGATGCACTGCCTGACTTCATTGAGATGACACAGTTTCAACCCACTTCCAGCCCCTTCTCCACCATCATGCCATGTTGAGTCTGGTTCTGCCAGAGGTTTCTTCCCAATGGGAAGTTTTTCCTCTCCACTGTCGCTTCATGCTTGCTCATCATGGACAGGTTCTCTCAACCTGTGTTATCCAAGCTGGACTTCCATCTTCCAGGTCCCGGAGTAAGGCTCTGGTATCAGCTCACATAATCCACTGGATCTCCCAATAAAGCTCAGCATACCGTCAAACTAACCAGCAGTCTACAGACTGAATAACTTCATCTATATCCATCTACCACCAGTTTCAGGCCTGGGGGGGAAACAGACCTATTCTTTGCTCCTGTTCATGCATATCTATCAAAATTCAGCGTCAGACAAAGTAATTGTATCAATACATTTCTTCTAATTGTCTTTTCTCTTCGTGTGAGTTTTTCAGATTGAAATATTATATGGTTAGGTAAAACAAACAATCAAAAAAAAAAAAAATAAAAATAACCATACAGGCTTCAACATTTTCCTGGAAAATAAAGAGCTGAAACCAGTTAAATAATTCAGATCCTCAGTTCCCAAAATTGCTGCTCTTCACTAATTAGTCATGTCAAGAACACACAGAGAGCAATAAACATCAGATATCTAGTAGAAGTTACAGGTATGATGATCTAATGCCAGCCCTTCAGCTTTGTTACTGCATAATTATCTGTCTCCAGCACCTTACATCTCTTAAAGTCGTAACATACCGGACAAAAAAATCATGCATTAGGCACTCCTTTAAAACGTAAGAGTGATATAAGCTGTCATTGCTATTAAAACCTCAAATCTGCCCTTTAGCCAAACTATCTCCAATCTAAAAAAAAAAAAAAAAAATCATTAAAAAAAGACAGGCAGCCTAGTAGGATTATGTGAAGTGACATGTCATGTAAAGGGAAATTGTTCCAAAATTTGCAAAGAAGTGTTCTTTGTGGGTTTTCTTTCTCTTCTCTTTAGGGAATGATCCAGCTATCGCTGTGGTTTAAATTATAACCAAAAGTGTGACTCACCAGTCTTGTGATCATGTTTAAGTGCAACAACAGACAAGGAAAAAACGACTGAATATTGCTGAGTATTTACAAAACTGTTGTTGGACATACCTTGTGCAACTTAAAGTGACATATGCGATGTTCTAGTGTCTCTATCTCTTTATTTATTGTTCATTTTATAAACCTGTTGTAAATAAAATGTCATATAACTGTAAATAATAGCTTTTTTGGCGAGATGTCACCACTTAATCTTGGAGATACATCCATCAAATGTGTAATAAGGTCGTTATTATTATGCCACCCTTGTTTCCCATAAAGGCCATTTTTTGTACATCTTTAGATGGATTCGTCTTTCGATTTATACTTTTTACTGTGTTTGTTCAATTATATATTTTTCAGTTTTTGTTCTTTAATCTGCTCTTGTTTTTTTCAATCACATGATCGTTTACAGTGTAGCCCCGCCCAGCGAGCGCATTGATTGGCTGGCGTCGATGGCCATTCTTCCCGACGTCCCTTATAAAGCTGATCCCGTCAGCCGTTTGGGATGTGCTAACTGATGCGCTGCTCTCACTACCACCTCAGCTAAGACATTAAAGGTAATTAGATATGATTTTGTGTTCTTTTTGTCATCAAATAACATTTTTCATATGTTATAAATGTTGTAGGTTTTATTATGTTCATTTTTATGAGGTTAGAGTGTCGCTGCTGCGTCCCTTCGGTTTTAGCTAGCTTCCCAGCATCATGTGACACACAGGCATCAGGTGTCCTGTTAAAGTGTCAATGTAACTTTAACCCTCCATATTTGTGCCACTTTTCTGTCAAGGCGGGGTTATTTGTCTCACTCTAAGGGTAAAGTTTCTAAAAAGTGCTTTTATTCCTGCTACTCATCCATACAGGGCTTCTGTAACAGACATAATAATGCGTCAGTCGGTGCAGCTCGCGCTGCTTGGCCTCTGTGCAGCGCTGGTTGTCGGGTATCCGTTCCCGGAGGAGGAGGACTCTGCAAAACACTGGGTGCTCATCGTGGCCGGATCTAATGGCTGGTACAACTACAGGCACCAGGTAAGAGATGTAGCTTTCTGCCACATCGGAAAGTGTGCATGACTCATGCTTTTTTCCTTATAACCCGCATTCACCCCAGATAACACACATATTGAACTTCAGATAAGCTCCCTTCCCCTTTTAATCGAAGCTATCCAAGCCCCTAAGAAGCTCATAGTGCATCGATGAGCTACTAACATGCAGGAGCATTTGTTTTCCTCTCCCAGGCCGACGCCTGCCATGCCTACCAGATAGTCCACAAAAATGGCATCCCTGATGAGCAGATTGTGGTCATGATGTATGATGACTTGGCAGAAAATGATCAGTGAGTTGGCATTTTTTGTTTTTCTACAGTGCTATACACTTCTCCTTTCTCCTGCAGAGTTAAGAAACGTTATTTATTCCACAAATACATTTATTAGTAAGTTATAACACTAAAAATGACTATTCAGATAGGTTTTTAGTTTATAGATTTACATCTAGTGTTCTCATACTGGCGCAACTACCACTGGTGGAATTTGTGCAGGTTTTATGTACTTTGAGGAAATCATTTTAGTATTAGTATAAACCTATTAAATGTTTAGAAGGGGAAGACGGTGATCTGGACACAAGAGCTGGTAGATGTTTAATGGTGATGCATTTCGTGCTCTCAAATGGTTCAGCGGCATGTTCACTTGTGTAGAGCCAAGTGCAACTACTCAGCAAAATAAATAATCAGATCTTGCTTATTAACTTTGTTTTTATGAATTCAAAACACATTGGATTATAGGAAATTTCTTTTTTTTCTTTTATTTTATTTTATTTGATCTTAAACATAGAAATTTAAAAAGTAAGAAAACTAAATGTAATTATACCATGATCCCTCAACCAATCCTGCAATGCTGTGATTTTATTTCCATACAACATAATACTGCCCCTTAAAAAGTCAAATTCTTGTTGTAAAACATTTTCTCTCATAAAAACAAACTTAAAACTAACGTAAATGTTTTAGAGTGAATAATAACCCAAAAGTAGTTAGAACCAGCTTTTTAAACTGCATTATATTTAGTGTTTGCTCATTAGCATAATATCTCATCTTTAATGTGATTGTCTGGTCCAAGTGAATAGAAAAGAAAACAGTAAACATATAATCAGGTGTAAATAGGCCTAAAAGATTAGTAGATGTTATAATAGCCCCAGAACAAAATCTCATGCAATGACATTTATGACAAAGATTTGAAACAAAGATGTATCAATGATCTGTTGTGACCAATTTTATTGCTACAAAAACAAAAAGCAACATATTGATCATTATGCTTGTTACTTCTGCAATGGATATAATATAAATAGATAAAACAGTTTCAATTTTTTATTTTTTTTAAAGTAAACTTGCTTATTACACATTATATTTGCTCTGAATAGGCTAACAGTTATTACAGGCCAACTTTTATCTGAATAATTCATCAGGTTTTTGCTTTAGGTTGGCAGCTTCCAGTTTGCTGTTTAACAGACGTGCACATCAATGCTCATTTTTATTTTGAAATCCAGGATAATTAAAAAGATGTTTCATACCTTGAGATCAAAAACCAGCCCAAACCAAATGGAAAATTACAAAAATGACTTTTAGAGGTGCAGTAAATATCAAGAACTAAAAGTCTGCAGCCGACTGAAATGTGATGATAAAGATCGATAAAGTCGAGTCTTACAATCGGGTCACAGTTAGAGAAGAGAAGTTGGGACATTTCGAGACAACTATTGGAATGTTTCATGTATTAGCTGCAGTTTTGTAGGGAGTTTGTTACATGTTTATAAATGACAAGATAGAAAAAAAAAAAGCCCCGCCTCCCTGATACTGTTGCATGCCAGCTTTGTTGCGTTAATCATAAACTAGGTTAAGGAAAGTCACGAGGAAACACCGGCTGTGCTTCCTTAGAAATCAGTTGGACCTGACGTAAGGGAAAGAAGTGCAGAGGTTTTTCCTGATCCGCAGCAGCCTGGATACAAGCGTTTAATCCAGCAGCTGAAGTTTGAAGAAGGGATTTCATTAAAAGACAGAAAAACCTAAACAGAACTTTGTCTTTTAACACATTTGTTAATCAGGTTTAAAAAACGAGTTTTATTTTTAATTAGACATTTTGTTTTTGCACAGTCAGTTGTAAATCAAGGTCAATGTTGTAAATATTTAAAAGAGAAGATAAATCAAACTGGTTTTCAATTATATTGATAAAATCTGTTTCCTTAACTACAGCCCTTGTTGACAGACATGTTTATTTAAGCCACACGATAAGTTCAACATGATAACCTATGAGTGATCTGGACGGCAGGCAGATTGTTGTTTTACACCTACTTGTCTCCAGAAAGTGGGTGAAGAGGCTGAAGTTTTATTCTGGATTATGCTTCAATATGGCTGATGTTTTTTCTAAAGGCCTGCCAGATTAATAAATAATAAGCAGAGCAAACAGGAATTCACCTAGATCCTCATATTTGTTCTCTTTTGTTGAAACATCATTTCAGGAATAGAGATCTGGGAGTGGAAACAAAATATTAGCTCATTATACTGTGGTGCTTGTATGAAAGCTAAATCGCTGTAGTTTTCACTTGCTTTGTCAAGTGAATGGTCATTTTCAACCATTTTCCTTTTAGGCTTTAAAGTCCTTACTCAGCCATATCCACTTCCTTCCTCTCAACTCTGTTTAACTTTGCAGGAATCCCACCCCTGGAGTTCTGATTAACAAACCGAACGGCACAGATGTCTACAAAGGAGTGCCTAAAGACTACACTGGGGATGTGAGTCATAGGGGACAAACATTTGTGCAAAGATTAGCAATTTGTTTATATATTTTTTTTGTTAAAGTCAAACTATGTTAACTCTTTGTTTTATGTCCATGGCAGGCTGTGACCCCTCAGAACTTCTTGGCTGTGTTGAGTGGAGACGCCTCAAAAGTCAAAGGTGGTTCTGGGAAGGTGTTAAAGAGGCAAGTGATAAACAGAAGGATGAAACCCCACACACCAGCAAAACTGGTTTACCTGGTTTATTGCTGTGTTTTTACTTTGTCACATTGTTTTCTTTCTTTTCATAGTGGTCCCAATGATCATGTGTTTGTGTACTTCACTGACCACGGCGCACCTGGTATTCTGGCCTTTCCTAATGATGACGTGAGGATTTTTTATTTTTATTTTGTTGCACACATGTAAAATAAGGTAGAAACAGGAACCTCTTTGTTCATTGTTGACAGATATTGATGGGTCCGTTTTATTTGGACATGCTTTATGATAAGATACGTCCTTTTTAGCCTTGCTACCGTAAATATTCAATAATAAATTCTTTAGGGAGCAAAAGCAACTCCTGTTGCTATCAAACAGAGGTTTTACTTATACTTATGATGTTTTGACAGACTTTCGACAATCTTTATTTGTTCTAAGCACAGTAAGAACGACAATAACACTCTCCTCATGTGTGTTGTGAGAATGTTGATCATCAACATTTCTAACGTTCAAAGGCACCAAAAAAAAAAAAAAAACACAGTACATTTACTGCACTTTGTTCCTACTTCCTGTTAGCTCTGTCTGCTGCCTGATGGAAACACAAACTTGTCTCCACATGCCTTAGAAAATAGCTTGTTATATCTCTGCACTTTCTCTGACTTCATACTGGATTAAGCAGCCACTTTTTAGTCTTCCTTACTCAGTGTCACCTTCAGTAACAAAGAGTTAATGCAGTCAGGTAGTTGTCAGTTAGGTGCATTCAGTGCTTGGAAAAATTTCATTTTTCAGGCTTTCCAAAACAAAGTTTTGATCATTTATCTTTCTTTAGATAAGGGTTTAGATAAGGATTTCAAGTTAGTTTATTTATATTCTCAACTTGAATAAGGTTAGCTTAGTTGCTACTGACCTTGCAACTTTTAACCGTTTTCCTTGACGCAAAAATTCTCTAACGTTGGAGATAAATAACTATTTATGCAGATTTTCTGGTCAATATTCACTTAACACGTGTTTTTCTGTCAGAAACTACAGTTATGGTGTGATGTGGAACAGTTTCAGTCAAATATTCCTCTTGTTTTTTCAGCTTCAAGTCGATGATCTCCAGAATACCATCCAGTACATGCGTAAGAATAAGAAGTACAAAAAGGTAAGTGGAGAGGGGGCGACAGGTGGGCAAATAAATTCTCTTTAGGCGGTAGCTGCCGTGCAGGATTATCGGGTTATATCACCTATTTGTTATCTTTCATAGATGGTGTTTTATATTGAAGCCTGTGAGTCTGGGTCAATGATGAACCACCTGCCTGATGACATCGATGGTGAGCTGAGCTTTACGCCTCTATCTAGTGAAACTGTAATGATAGAAAAGCAGAAAATTGCTTTGACTCAGTGAAAGTAATGTGGTCGGTTTCTTCATACTGTAACAATTCTCACATCCTTTTTGCCGTGTAGACTAAACCGTGATCAGCCCTGTGGCATGTGAGGCTCCGCTTTTAGCCTTTTATTCCTTAATCATGTCTTTCTAAACTTTGTGAGATCAGCGTTACAGGTTGTGGTCAATGCTAAGCATCGTTAGCCTCTCCAGTGAGTGGCATCATGTGATAAGCATAACATGATTGAAGTGCAAAGGTCGAGGTTCAATGTTTTATCATGCCTCTTCTAAGAAATCAACACATTCTTCTGATTAAATTAAAATTTTGTTTCTAGAGCACCTTTTAAATTCACTAGAAACATTTGGCACCGATTTCTGCTGGAAGCTGAAATGGATTCATCAGATAAAAATACATAAAATCGGTTTAGCTGTCGGTCTGGTTGTTCTTCCAATCTTTTGGTTCTGTTTTCAGCAGAATAAAAAATTAATGGGGGGGGGGTTGTAGAGACACTCTGGTAATGTTCACAGCGATTTTTCTGGCAGAGGATATAGATGAGGAATCAGTCGTTGCCTTTTATTAAAGTATTCTGACTTTTTCAGATGTTACAGTTTCAAACCACAAAGATATTTTTTTCTCCAGTTTCTAAGGTTTCATGTTCCTTTAATGGGAAGTTAGTGTCTGAAATGTTGCTGCTCATTGACAGTGAGCTGGCTAATAGGCAGCTTTTCTCATATTAGCACAAAATAAAATAGGCTACAGGAAGTTTTATATTTACAGCATTTAAATTAAATACAAGTTATTTGTTATTCATTTATGTCTTGAATTTATATCAGAAAAATCTTAAAGGTATTCTTTTCTATTGAGTGGACTTTGCAGAAGTCCTGGTTGATATTTCTAAACTGTGAGTTCTACAAATCAGTGCCAGCTCCCCTCACTGACTTCTGCAGAGCACTGATGTCTGCCATACTACAGCTGTATCACTATGACCTAAAACCTGTGTGTTTCAGTTTACGCCACCACCGCAGCCAACCCGCACGAGTCCTCATACGCCTGCTACTATGATGAGAGCAGGGATACCTACCTGGGTGACTGGTACAGCGTCAACTGGATGGAGGACTCTGATGCGGTGCGTAAGGAAGCTGCCAAGCTGTAACATTTTTTTTTTTTACAGAAAGGGAAAGGTTTTTCAGTTGTCAGCTTCTTTTCTAAAAGTTTTTATTTCCTGCTTTTCTGCAGCTCAAAAGTTAACTATTGAGAATATACAGATGAAACCTTTTTTCTTCATAGACTTTTAAAAAAAGACAAATATCGTCTGACTTTGTGTTAAATGAAGATTGGGGGTCAGTTAAGATTTTGAATTATGTTAAGAATACAAATTATGTCTATTTGCTAAATGCCAAAATATAAAAATATAAAGAGCAGATATTTTTTAACTGTCTTTGAGTTAAAAAGTCTATTCCCCCCTAATCTTGCTCCATTTTATGAAGTGTACCCGTCCCTCTTGTAGCAAAACAGGCCCACATCATCATGCTGCCACCCTCTTACTTTTAAGCTTTGACTTTAGCTTGATTTATGCTTGATAAATCGGCATGGCCAAAATATGTCATATTAGCTTCCACACCCTTTGCATGCTGTCTGTGTGGACAGATTTTTCGCACGGAACACCCAGGAAAATGTGTAACTATGCGGATAGCTCCACACGGAACAACATGATGGATGAGCGACAGCTTAATATCACCATGATGGTGGAAAAAAGATGTGTTTTCTACTTCCTCATGTAGTCTGTTGCAAGTATGGTGGTCCCTGTAGTCGGCCAGAATATTAGCTAGAGGGGTGAAAGCCGCATGTATTATAAAAGCTGCAAACATATCTGCTCCCACTGCACTGATTTCACTGTGGAAAATGTTTTTGCTCTTTTCTGAGTTCATTTCACACCCACCATTTCTATCCTTCTCCTGAAATCATCCGCTGAGTAGTTTTCTTCTTATTCTTCCCCCCATGATGTCTCAGAAAATAGAAATGTGACTGTACTGCTGTCTTCAAACTCCAAACACTCCAAACCAACATGTATGCCTACCTATTAATACAATCTTTATTAATAGGTAATAAGAATGAAAATGTTTTGCTTTTTTAAACAGAAATGCAAATATCTGGTTTCAGATGTTTGCTGTATGAAAAAATACACCTTCTGCCCACAAACACCTGTTTGCAGATAAGCAGGAAAGGGAAGTGGTGAATTTTGAAATAGCAGCTGCAGGAGGTTGCTTTTGAAAAGAAGAATGATATCTCAGATAAAAGGGCCTGCTGTAGTAAATAAAAAAAACAAACCCAGAAACCTCAACAACAACATGTACTGTATATGAGAACAGGTTCTAGGAGATGAAATGGTTAAATTACAAATGAGGTTAATTAAGGGGAAATCTCTTCTTCCTCATGTGATCATGTGTGTCTGACATTGGGCTTCTAGGAGGACCTGACAAAGGAGACTTTGATGAAGCAGTTCAAGATCGTCAGGAGCGAAACCAACACCAGCCACGTCCAGCAGTATGGCAACAAGGTTAGAACAAGAAGTTAAAAGTCTTTGCAGTTTTTAGCCATTCTGCCTATGATGACGTTGCAGAAACTGCTTTATTTCCTTCTCTTATTATTTTTTCTTCTTTTTTTTTTTCGACCGCAGACTATGGGCCATATGAAGGTTGTGCAGTTTCAGGGAAATCCAAAAACATACAGGCCACCCACTGTTCAGGTGACCCCCCAACCAATCACAAATAAGGATCTCACCCCAAGCCCTGACGTTCCTCTGGCTATTCTGAAGAGGAAGCTCATGTCCTCCAATGATATCAGAGCTGCAAGGGCCCTGCTGTCAGAGATAAGCTCCCACCTCAAGGTAGAGAATTAAGACTCCAGCACTCATGGCGGTCTAAACTGATCACTAATGGCTGTCTGTTGCTGCTGTGTCCCTTTGAGTTCAGGTCAGGGAGACTTTGGCTGAAACTATGCGTCAGATAGTTGAGAAGGTGACTGGCAGCACGCTGACGACTGAGGAGGTCCTGAACGAAAGATCCGAACTCTTCCAACATCAGTGCTACAAGTTGGCAAACAATCACTACAAACACAACTGCTTCAACTGGCACAAATCTGAGGTAAGCGCTTTTCCACCACGGAACCCAGATCAGGTGCTGGTGCTGATCCAGGTTCACTTTTTTGTGGTGAACGAGTCACGTTTCTCAGATTCTTTAGAAATGAGTGACCAAAACTCTTTCACGTGTCCAAAGTTTGCTTCTGCTTCCCAAGAGGAAATGCGTGTTTTGACATTGAACATAGAGCTGCTTTTAATCCAAAAACTGATGGGAGGAGAGAAGCATGACTCAGTCAGCTGAAGAGGAGCATCTCAGTCTTTATATGAATGATTTTTCTGAGTGTTTAGTTTTCAGGTTTATTCACAGAATGTTGTTGAGATAAAGATCCCATTCCGTCGTTGAATGCCAGGAATGTGAAATATGTCGGGAAAGCCTCCATGCTCCAGCTGCTGCGTATAACTGAGATATAAATATCATCAAATACAAATACAGGCGTCAGGGGAATCTATAACACGGTCGGTTTTAGTATGTGCCATACTACATACTTTTCTGAACAATTTTATTGCTTTAGAAATGTTTGGTTTTAAAAAATTTTCACGAAAGGAAATACAGAGAAAATAAAGTGTTGATGCTTTTTAAAAGAGACTTTTTTGTTCGTCCAACTCAGGTCTACGGTCAACTAAAACTAATAAAAGGGTAAAAACTAGAATTAACACTTTTGTTAACTGAAAAAAAACCATATAAAGTAGAAATTTCAGAAAAATTGAAAACAAACTGAAACTGTTACAGGAATTTACAAAAATAATTAAAGCTTTCTAAATTTGTGTCCTAATCATAATGCATTAATTTGAGTTTTAGTTTCTGGTTGCAGCTTTTGCCTTTTTTTTTTTTTTTTTTTTCCACATTACATTAGCAGATGTTGTTGCAGCCATCTGTCCATATCTGGGATTTTATTTTTATTTTTTTATTTTTTTAGAAGTCAAGAGTAAATAAAACAATTACATTTCAAAACTATCCCTGGTCACAAATGCTTTTGTTTTTCATTTGAAATAGATGGATTGAACAGGAGAGATTTAAAGCTGGGGATTTTATTTTATAACTTAACCCTGAATCATGAAGGCAGTTGGTTCTAATGACTTTCATCAAGGAGTCTGAGTAAAAGGGGGGATTTAAATGTGGTGAAATAAAAAAAACATACACAACATACTGAAATACCAGTTCATGTTGAACTTTAAGAATAAATCCCCTACAGTTCCTTCTGTTTGAGTTTGTGCCTATGCAGTGACGTAGTATGAATATTAAGAACAACTACCTGTGAATGTAAATACTCATTACATAGACTTTTATTCAACTTCAGTACTTTCCCTAAAGGCTTCAATTAAAATCTCTCCCCCTGGAAGTTTCTGACCTTTCTGTTGCCAGTAGGAAACCAGAATTTGGCTGATCTTCAAGGGAAACAGAGACTGGGGACATTTCTGACATGTGATGTTCTGCTGTCCTTCCCTTTTAGTTTGAATACGCACTGAGGCACCTGTACGCTCTGGTGAACCTGTGTGAGAGGGGTTACCCTACAGAGAGGTAAGGTCTACTTCCTTGTTTGTTAAACCACTTTTGCATTAGAACTGTTATTTTTAATGGGAAACCCAGCCGGTAACCACTCAGCTCTTTGATTCCTGTGTATTCATCCTATCCATAATGTCCATTCCATATAACTGAAATTAGATTTAACACGACATGTGGAACTTTGTGTAATTTTGAGGCGTTTTCTTGCTTTCCAGAATCCTGATGGCCATGGACTCAGTGTGCCCCTTCAGTGGGTAAAAAGCACTTGTGTAAAACCATTTTGGCCTCAAATTAAACTGCTTTTCCACACCGGAGGAGCAGAGAAACCAAGCTTCAATTTGCACTGCTGGGAATCCAAGGAGCTGACATCATCATGTCATGAACACACTATTACACGTTTCTACCATGTTTGATCTTCCTGAGAGGGTTTTTTTTTACGCTTTATGATGAGATGCACTGTCACTGTGAAGAGTTTGTTGATGTTTTACTGCTTCTTCTTGCTTTTTTTTTTTTTTTAAGAATATAAGACAATTATAACAGACTGTCAAATTGAATGTGTCATTAGTGTTTGATTGAGATTTAAAGAATGAACTCCAAACATAAAGGTTTGCTTTTCTTGAGAGATTTTGATTTTAAATAAAATTTGACAAACAAAACCTGCTTTTTGTTTGTTTTCTTTTTAACTTTGGAATGTTATTCTATCCTATCAGCAGTTTTCTTTTAGTTGAACATATAAAAGTCTCCAAATTGGCTCAAACGACGAATGAGATTTAGATATTTCAGCATCTTCAGGGTGATTCATATCTGGATTATTTTGGGACAAAACCACCAATGTACAGAATTAGAAGAAAGGTTGGTTAATTATTCTACTACAAAGTTAGATTATTAAATATATAGCGCCTAATCACAAAGAATGAAATATGAAAAACAATTCTCTTTATGGGTGGTTAAAGCTACCTCCATTTGGTTCAAACACCCTTTAAATCCTGATAACCCTCGGGTTTTGAAATAAATGTCATCAGGTTTTCTGCCCATTTTTTTCCTAAGGTTTAGTCTGAAATTAGAAAGCTGTTTGACACTTTCGCTGTATCATCCATTTGAATTTAGAGTTGTAAGCAATGGGATAAAAATGAGCTTCCTTAATGATTATAAAAGCAACCAAATCCAAAGAAGTGGGTTCCAGTCTCAGCTGGTCGTCCCTCTGGCTCTGCCATGTTGTTCACTGCTCCGTTCCTCATTCCCCTTACTAGGGAGAAAAGCATCACCTAAAGAGATTTACGTAGTGCACAAATGCAAATACTTTTGAGTTTTAATTAATCTTTTCATTTTTCTTCTATTTTTTTTTTTTTGGGTCATAGTTAGGCTCAATAGTCTGTGGAACTGACATTGATTTAGTTCAGTCTAATGTCACCTAAAAGCTTTTCATTAAGTCTTGAGAATATTTGAAGTGTTTCCATCACATCATGGTTAAGGTGAGTTTATGTGCCTTACTTCACATCTGGTTTCAATTTCAATAAGCAATTTGACATATACTAAAAAGCAAAGATTAGAAGCTTCATCTCAAAACAGGAAAGGAAAGTTTCACTGGAAAACAAAGAGATTTTTCAGTGGTTTATGTGAATATTCAACCACTGATATTTCCGTACCTTTGATAAACCATAGAATAAATGCATACTTTCTAATAGTTAATTTTTTCCCCCTATTTTTAGTTTAGGGAGAGCCAATAAAGATGTGCAATTTCACAAAGATTCTAAAGGTTTCTGAATAGAGAAAATTGTCCCACAGCATCACACATCCTCCTCCATGCAGTGGGCATGATATGCTTTTCAACAAAGGTTTCACACATTTCACAGCAAACCAACTTGCAGAACTTAATCCTGATGGCAGCAAGAGGAGCTTTTTCTGAAATGCTTTCCAAACATCTCGGTGTCATGTAGATGCTGTGGCTTCTCAATAAGTGATACCCAAGTCTACTAAAGAAAGTAAAGTAAACCAAACAAAAAAAATATAGTTGGGATTTCTTTTCAGAGATTGTTGTGGTGTTAAACAATAAACATGTTTTAAAACTCTTTCTGAAAGGGAATAGTGCTCACTATCACATCACTGTGTCATAAGAATATATTTAACAAAATCTCACATGACTCAGTCTCTTAAATGACTGTGGTCAAAAATAATATCATTTTACAATAATTCCTCTTCGTCTGCCGCCATAAAACAGATCGCTAACTTTTTATTCCATTTATGTTTTTTACTGAAATGAATCAAACAAAAACTAACAAATATACTTGACTTTTAGGAGAATCTTTGTATCTTTGATGACGCATATCTGGAAACAAGCAACATAAACAAGAGAAGTGCGACATCATGTGGCGAAATGTTATATTGCATATTGATAGAATATTTTAAATTGCAGGCTCAGTGCACAGAATAAGACTGCAGGACAGGAGTCAAAACGTCTTGAAAAACGAAAAACGGAGCACAAATCGGGTTGTGTCCGATTTAAACCTGTTTTATGTTTTAAATTGTAGCATTTTTTGTAAGACAGACCAAGTTAGCCCCTCATCAGGGCCTTCATAACAATGTGGGCCAACGAAACAGCAAGTTAGTAGCATGGGCTGTTGGACAGAGGCCAACAGGGCCAATGTTCCTGTAGAACTGGTCGTGAGCCATGTTATGGTCCCTGTATTGAAAACACTAACAGCTAAAAAAAATAAAAATTATATCAATAAATCAACTTTTCTTGAACTGTATTTTCCATTGATAAAGGTAATCGTAATGATTTTGGCACTGAGGACTGGATGTTTGGTTCATTTCTTCCACCTGTTTAGCTCCGCCTTGTTTTCGTTGTCTCTCATCTGATTCACCTGTTCCAGTTCCTATTTAAGCAGCCTGTTTCCAGCCATGAGTGCCAGATTGTTCGAGCCGTGTGTGAGAGTTCTCCAGCGTACCCAGTTGTGTTTTTGATTACCTGATCCTGACAAGTTTCTGCCTCTGAACTGATTTTTAGCTTGCCCCTGTTTCAGTCTGTTTCTGCCCGACCTGTCTTCGGACTGTTGTTTGGATTCTGCCTTTTAACAACCTTAGATCTGTTCCCCGACCCCAGTTTGGGTTCCCCTTCGGCATCTCTTTGTCTCTCTGATCTTCCGGCCTGAACATCTGCTACTGCATCGACATCTGCTCTGGATTCTTCCCCCAGATTCTTCAGCTCTTCCTCGTCTGCTGCCTAGTGCTCATCAGTCTGCTCTGCCTCACTCCTGCAACTCTCTGGGCAGCTTCTTGTTGTGGAGAAATCATCCGACTGGATTCCACTAATTCTCTGGGCTCAGACAGGACTCAAGTACCAGGTTAGTGACTCACTTGCTCGTTTTCGTTTTGCTGAGTTGTGTGGTCACTAACCTGAGAATCTACCTCTACAGAGATTTCAGTAGACTGGTTCCAGCAGACGAGGTGAAGTTTACAAAGCAGTCAAAAAAATGTTTTGTTTTCAAACACATCTGTTCCGCCTAACTGAATCCTGGGTCCTACTTTCTGAGAGAGAATTTCCAGCTGGATTAAGAATTATCCTTAAAATAATAGGAATAAAAAAACATTAATATATTCCTGGTTTGTAATATATAATTGTCATTTTTAAGAGCAAAAATTCTAATTCCTTTGGCAGATCTGTATATTTTAGGTCTAGAATAGTCACTTCTCGTGTTTTTATGAGGGTTTTGATGCTGAATAGTGAATGAAACTAAGTGTGCAATTAGTATTTTTTATTCATTTATTGCTTTGTGTCTTTACCTGTAAAACAATCACTTTTTTTGAGTGTGCAACCTGTTGGGCTCTTTTTGGTATCAAGAGAATTGTTCTTATTGCCACATTGCCAGACAGGTAACTGTTAAAAAAATAAAATAAATAAAAAATTCAGTTCCACTGGGCTTATTTCCATAATTGATTGTAATATCAGTTCCATTTATTATTTCAGTATAGTTCAGATTATAATTTCTGCTGGTTTTTGAATTATTATGAAGTAACCTAGTCATTTGGCCACACTAAAAAAAATACAAAATGAAGAGTAGGATACTCTTCATTTTGTAAAAATAAGTTAACCTAAAATGTTGTGTTTTTTACGGTGCTGCTTTGCGGAGCATGATCCGATTATGAAACATCCTTGTAAATACTACTGTTGTGAAACAGACATGTTTCAGTCATGACCACATCACATGGAACAGAGCTCCACCTAGTTTCTGAAAAGGAAATCCCCTCCCTTTGGTTTGACTGGGAAACAATCATGAGAGCATGAATGTGAAGGTAAAACTGAGGGCTGCATGGTGGTGCAGTTTGGACATGGTGCCTTCTTGCAAGGAAATTGTGGGTTCTTCCATCTGCAACATGCAACTGGATGATTGTTGCAGGTGCTTCTATTCGTGAATAGTTGTGGAGGCTGGAGGCAACGAGTGATCCTGATGGCCAGGCAGTAGAAGATGGAAGGATAGTGTGGTGTTGCATAAGCAAAACCTAGAAAAACAAAACCTAATCTTATTGCATGCAATGTGCTATATAAACCTAGCAAACTTTTCTTTTCATTGCACCGACTTGGCAGCCAACTATCCTCCTGAACAAGCATGTTGTGATAGTGAACAGCTGATCTATTAAGTTGCTCAATTTGCTCCAATTGCTCATACTGAGCATATATGTGTCGACAGTGGAAAGAAAACTCTTAACAAAAGCTTTAACAGAGCAGCAAGCAAGGGTTCATTTGGCATGACTTATTAGGGACTTTATCTCCTGCAATTTGTGTACATAAAAAAACTCAATTGGCTTTACTCAGTGGAAGAAAATATTTTTCCCTTCTGCTAGCTTGTTGTTTTTTTTTGTTTGTTTTGTTGTTGTTTTAAACCTTATAATTGCCTTAAATTGTTTTTTAAAAGCAAGATGTATTTTTTGTTCACGTAAATCTTGTTGCAATAACGAGGTGTTTTGTTAGGATTGAAATGATTAGTTGCAAAAACAGGCAGGACTATTGATACTGCTATTTGTTATGATCATAAAGGATATCAAATAACCTGCTTATACCAGCTTATTTCAGAACAGCTGTAAAATTATGCATATGCTTGAGTTTTCAGGCATTACATCAAGCTTTTTTTTTTTTTTTTTTTTTTTTTTTTTTTTTTTTTTTAAGAAAAAGGAAAATACATTTTTGGAGCCACAGGTTTTAACACAAAAGTCAAAGCCTTTTGAAGTCATGGTTATATATATATATATATATATATATATATATATATATATATATATATATATATATATATATATATATATATACCTAAGTTAATGCAGTTTTTTTGGGGGGATGGGTTGAACATTGTTGGTACCTCCTTTGCTTCATATAAACATGCAGAGACAAAAGGTTGGGGAGAAATCTCCATAAATTCTTAACTCATAAAACAAGCCAGTGTTTCATAGAATCCCCTATTGTCAACATCAAATATAAATATATCTTTAATAAACTCTTTTGATGAAGGATTAGGGATGTATGTTATTCACCATTTAAAAAAATAGTTCTTTATTTTGAGGAGGAACTGGGCATTTTAAATATGATTTTATATGTTGTAGATTTTTGTTATACCTGGATACATATTGTTAACATTTATTGTAGTACTATAAATATTCTTTTACGAATTTTTTATTATGTTCTATGTCTACACAATTAACCTCAATCTTTTGTTTTTGTTTCTTGATGTCAGATAAATATCTTTTCTATTGCCATTTTATGGCAGTACATAAAATTGTTAATTATGCTTTTTCTGCTGTGTTATAAATATTTTGAGGATTTAACGTATTGTACCATGCCGATAGATGTTCACCATATTCCCCGGCTATAAAAAAAAAACCTACTGTGATTTGACATTATTATTATTATTATTATTATTATTATTATTATTTTATGCAGGCAAAATGCTACACTACCTAAGCTTAATAATCCAATCAGGGCGGTGTCCTGATTAGCCCCTCCCACTTCATCAAACAGGAAGCTAACCGGACCGAAACTCGTCTCACCAACATGAAATCAGGACAGACTGGAAACATTCTTTAACAGAAAGCGGACTGCTGCTCCAGTTGTATCAACAGAGAGACATTGACCGTCTATTAGTCGTGATCTCCGTCTTTAACCGCTTTTTGAACCACCTGTTATATATTTTTTTAAGTTTAGCTCACAGGGTTAGCTGTCTTGCTAACGTTCAACCTTACTCAGTTGTTATTGTCAAGATAGAGGAATTCGAGTCTGTTTTTGTTTTTGTTAGTTTTTAAAAGATTTTACCATGGGGTCTAGAGCGTCCACGTTATTGAGAGAAGAAGAAATTGAAGAGATCAAAAAGGAAACTGGCTGTAAGTTCTTCTCACTTAAAAATGACGAGTCTGGGTTTGAAGCTTGCGTAGTTAGATGTATGCGGCTTCCATGCATTTTAATTGGATAAAGCGTTTATGTTGGTAGTGAAACCTTTAACTTGTGTTTCCTCCTTGCAGTCTCGCATAGCCAAATCACCCGTCTGTACAGCCGTTTCACCAGCCTGGATAAAGGTGAAAACGGGACTCTCAGGTAAAAAACAAATAAACATGTGGGGGGAAAAAAAATAATAACATAACAATATTTTCTGACTGAGATGACAGCCCAGTGGATCATGCTTCCCTTAAGGAATCTGAGACTCAGTTCTATTTTATAATGTTCTCCCTCGTTTTTTCACTGATAAGGGAAAAAGGTGCAACAGCTTCTTTGTTAGAGTTGAATTTTAAGAATTGAGCAAAAGAAAAAACCCTTAGGAGGTTGCAATAAAACCTTGCTTTAGAGGGCATTAAAAGTTCATTGTCTGAATTTGTTTCATGTTTAGGAAACTTTTTTCTTCAAGAATTTGATTCTTCCAATAAATAAGAAGGTGTGAATTTCTCACCTCTGGCCTATTAATTGGTACATCTCTACTTTTTATTACTTGTACTATCTGTGTTTTTATCTTGTCATTCTGCTGTTGATAAACTGGGTCACCACCCAAATTCTCCTCCAAATCCACCTTTACACTTATCTGATCATTGGAATAACTCGGCTGGAACCTCAGGGAGGTGTTTGTGCTTAACTTGCAGTAGCATAGGTGATAGGTGATGGAGTACAAGATAATTATTGTGCAAGAAAGCCGTACACATGGACCTTGGTTTAACTTGGCCCTTTGGTTTGGTAAGAGGTTCATTTGCAGGTCAGATCTTCAAGGACAGTTAAACAGTGTTTGTAATTTCATGGAAGGAAGTCTGAAAAACACTCTGCTTACAGTAAACATGTTTTAGGTGCTGCTTGTCCTCGCTGTTCTGCTTTCAGTCTCTGTAGCAGTCTGAGGTTTTTTTTTATATCTACCTCTATTTACCTCTAGAGGCTCATGTCCAGTCTGACTCTATCACTGATTACCAGAATTTTAGACATTTGTCTTTGAAGGCCAATGCTTCATTTGACCAAAAAAAAAAATCTTTTGAATATTTGTTGCATGTCCCTGAATTTTTGTAAAGTTGTTTCTTCTTTAAAACTTCAAATAATAATAATAGTGTTCCTATATTGTGAAATCAACAGTCGAGAAGATTTCCAGAGGATCCCTGAGTTGGCCATAAATCCTCTTGGAGACCGAATCATCAATGCTTTTTTCCCTGAAGGGTAAGTTTCTTCACAAATTTCTGTAAAGGAATATATGAAGAAGGGTTGATGGGGTTCTCAACCTGCATTAGATGGGCTCTTTCAAGGCTTTGGATGATTATACACAAGGAGCATTTTCCAGATTTTTTTCTGGCATTTATCTAAATATTAAATTCATCTGAATGAAATTCATCTGCCTGTTGACCTGTTTGTCCTTCCATCCATTAATTAATCTCATATTTATATATCCACCAGTTTACCCATCAGCACAGTCAGTTATGAGATTGTCTCTATCCCAAAATATGTTTTCCATCTGTTTGTTTTCCCCTTAGTCCATTTATCCCATTCCTTCTCCTTTTAGTTTCTGGGATTTTCTCCATCTCCATATTTAAAGCCTGACCACAGTAGAGACTGATTCTATGAAAAGCTATAGAGAATTAAATGTTTCCTTTAAAAGGGCAGAAAAAATCAGGGAAAGAACTTGACATGGGAAATGTGTAGGAACCCTTACATCCCTAAAATATGCCTGATTGTTTTATACGGGAATGGTGGAGGCTTGTAAACCAGAGGTTTCTTTTGGCTGTATCATTAAACTCCCTAAAAGTTCAATGTGTGGGCGCTTGGATTCCAGACAAGGCTTTTAATAGTTTCTTATGGCTCCTATTTCATCTGGGGTTTGGCATGTTTGCTTTCGATCAAGTCAGAGTAGAGGAAGAACATTTAGGAGTCTATAGCGGTATTGGATTACCTTTGCAGCCTGTGCTGCTTTATTTCAATTTAATCCAAGGCGACTGCTTTTGAGGCCATTATTCACAAATTTCCTTTGTGTTTTTCAGAGAGGATCAGGTCAACTTTAAGGGCTTCATGCGCACCTTGGCTCACTTCAGACCTATTGAGGACAACGAGAAGAACAAGAACCTGCCGGCCTCCGAGCCTCTCAACAGCAGGACAAACAAGCTGCTCTGTGAGTTCACAGCTGCTGGTCACATGCGCTTGGAGATGCTGACCTGAATGCTGAACATTCAAAAGGCTTTTTGGGTTGATTTGTTCTGCATTTCATGACTTGCATGGTTTTTCTTTTTTTTTTTTTTTCCCAGTTGCTTTCCGTCTTTATGACCTGGACAGAGATAACAAAATCTCCCGGGATGAGCTGCTGCAGGTCAGTGTGTTATTTTGCTCCCACTTCCTTTTTTTTTAACATTAGGCAAATTTGTTTCAGTTGGTTTCCAACACCAGTTTTGTCATTTGGACTGTGGACAAATAAACCAGCTTTTGTTTCCTATTTGTTGACTAAATTATGTCTTGCAGTTTCTGTTTCAAGTTGCGGAACAGAACTTGATTTTAAAGTTGGTGAAAACGGGCAATGAACAATGCCTTTTGCTGATAATAAGATGATATCTCACCTTAACTACAGGTGGAGCTCTCAGGCCCTTTATTAACTTGCTTTGTGTTACCCCTGCTATTTGTCATCTCCTCGCAAAGGCACTCTGATTTAGGTGACATTGTGTGACCTGTAATTGGTGTAAGCCGCTGGTTTAGTGACTCAATCCTTGTTTTGCGCAAAACAGTCCTTCCACCACTTCTGTCACCTGGTTTCTCTAATTCAGGCTAAATGTGAAACGTCAAATACTGTTTATGTTCTTTTCCACGAAAAAAGACCTTAATTCCTACAATTAGTTACCCAAGAGCTAAATATTTAGAAATTATCACATGCTGCTATAGTTCTTCAACCGTTAGGCTTGTTTTGACCACGTTTCCTAATCTCTGCCTAAACGGGGATTTTGTCTTTAACAGTAGGTTTCTATAACGCCATAATGTTTGTTTCAGGTCCTTCGGATGATGGTCGGTGTAAACATTTCAGATGAGCAGCTTGGCAGCATTGCTGATAGAACCATCCAGGAGGCAGACACCAATGGGGATAGCTGTATTTCCTTTCAGGAATTCATGAAGGCAAGTGTTTTTGATTTGTTGTATTTTTTCTGCATCTGTATTTTATTATTTTTGTTGTTTTGTTTATTTTAAGATCTACTTTTTTTGTCATGTGACCCAAATTGAACACAGATTTACTTAAGCAAACAATTTAAAAAGCCTCAATTTTTAACTCAATATCCACGTCATTATTCAACCATTACCTGTCTTTGTGGTTTGGACTGTGCTTACAGGTACATCTCAGTTGGAAAACCACAAAAGAGCTTATTTTCTGTCACGCATTTAAGAAAGTGAAACTCTGATATATGAATGGTTTTATTTCAGACAATCCAGTAGGGGCCTAGCAGCTACGAAAGGTCGTACCTGCAGACGCTGATTGTTCGGAGTTCTGTAGCCAAGCACACTCAGAACGTTTGGTGGGAGAAGAAAGTATTGTTGAAAAGATGCCTCAGCAAATAGAATAACCCGCAGCATAGAGCAGAATGTCAAGCCTCTAAGGATAGACGAATCCTACACATGGGTTACTATGTCCAAAGCTTAATTGAGAAGAGAAAGAACAACTGTCCTCTTTTTAGATGAAAGCAAAGTTTGGATTTCATTTGCAAATCAACGCCTCAGTCTGAAGAAAGAGTGAAAAAGAACCAAATCGAAGCAAATCTTGCTTGAAATCCATTGTGAGGGTTCAAGTTTCAGTGATAATGACTTCTCTATGGTCCAGTCAATACAGACATCTAGGCTTTAGGGCACTTCATGCTTCCTTCTGCTGACAGGCTTTGTGTAGATGCTGATTTTTCTTGTTTGGTTCTAGCTGCATTTCCACCTTTTACCAAACCTTTGATGATGAATGACAGGCTGATAGGGTTTGTTTGATTCAGATTTAAACTGGCTAACAGTACCATTAGTACCTTTGGGCTTTGAATACACGTCAGCAGAACCACAGGATGACAGACTCCATGCTACGCTGCATTAATGCAGCAATTCATCCATAATGAAAAGAATCCTGACATAATTTAGAATAACTTTTCATTGACCATGTGTTATATTTTTATTCAGACTTCTGTTTTTTTTCAATGATGTTTACCTCTTTCAATTAGTTGAGATATATATATATATATATATATCTTTCTCAACTAGTTGAATATAATTTATTTACAGAGCTGTTTGGCAGATTGCCGTGGCAGATGTCTCATATATAGATTGTCTGCTTTGTTCAATCTAAATGTCATCACAGTAAAGAACATGTAATCAAACTTAATTCTTTAAGGTTTTGAAGAGTTTATAGTTTATAGATATAGGGTTTATATCATTATCTAAATCGTGGACATATTATACAGTACTGTTTAACCACTGTTATAAAAAAATGGGTAAAAGGACACAAGGTTTTCCATAGCTTAGTGGAAGGTTTTTTTTTTTTTTTTTTTTCAGAGCAGATTCCCATGAAGGATTTCTATGTTCATGCAGTTCTGCTTTATAAATGGTAATGGGCTATAATTGTAATGCAGTATCTATTTTATATTCCAGGTCTTGGAAAAGGTGGACGTGGAACAGAAAATGAGCATCCGGTTTCTGCATTAAGTCCCTCCTCTTTCCCACCTCACACACAGAGTAGAGCTTGGACTAGTTTGTTGGTGTCACGTCACAACCTCCTCTAGCTTTTCAACATTAAAGTACACACCGTTAGAACAAGCAGTTGGTAGCCGTCTTTGATCCCCAGTTTTCTGCCTTTGCACTGCGCCGTAAACAAAGGGAAAAGTTGTGTGCCTTGGGTTGTTTTATGCAATGTGACAAAGTACGCCTTCCTAGTTATGCAGCATTATTTATTAGAGAAGTATGAGAGGGTCGTAGTAACATTTAGTACTACAGAGCTGTTTGCTATTGCTCTAAGTCTAATCAAAATGTGTTCATACTAATACAAATGTATTTCAATCTTGCTTCTTTGTAGACATAATATGCTCAAAGTGATAAATGTTCAATTCCTGTTCATGAGCCTCAGTGTTTTCAGTGCTAACAGGATCGAATGACTCCGTTCCACCCTGTGAATAAGCAGCCAGCTGTAATTTAGCATGCAGTCCCTTCAGCTCCACAGATTGTTGATTTTCTCACTAAAGTGCCATGATGACTAAACAGTAATCAGGAATCTGTAACCTTGGTTGGTGTTGCTTTCCTATGGACAGTGCTAGTAGTTTTTAACACTTAAGTGTTGGGATGCTATTTGAAATTATAGCCACAGGAGATATTTAAAATAAAGCTTCCAGTATTCAGCTGGCTATCTGACCTGCTTCCTTAAAGCTTTTCCTCTCTATTAGGACCTAATTAAAGGCTAGGAACGAATGTAGTAATTATGCTGGAGCGAAATCTCTAATTCCTGCATTCAGATAGCATTCCATTGTTCTGTTACTTTCCTATGTTTTGTTGTGGCGAAGAGAGTAAAGCAAACGACTGTCTTCTAATTTATTTGCTGTTTTAGCTCCAGATGCCAAAGGAGAATCCATTAGTCTAAGAGTACCTGAACCAGAGTTTAGGCATCCAAGCTTTTTAAGCTTAGTGAGCGTTTAAACATAGTGCAGGAGGTACGGCTCAACTATTTGTCAATCATTACGGGATCAATGAGTCACATATTGTGTGATGTCTGTGTAGTTATGTAAGTGATTCTTGATTTTGATCTGAATAAAAGAACTGCCATGGTTTCTGAGTGTTTGCTGATGATCTTGTCCTTTAAGTACTTCCAATTAAAAATATAGATGCATGCATTTTGCTTTGGAATTAACTTTATTGATAAAATTATTAGCTAATTCAACCAAATAATTAAATTCAGGTGTTCAAAACATGCATCTTAGCAGGAAGACAGTTTCTGCAAACCGAATGAGTCACTGTCAGAGTTCAGGAATTCCAGCAAGGTACTGTGATAAGAGGACATCTGGGCAACAAGTCATGTCATGAAATTTCCCCACTCCTAAATATTCCCTGTGGCTGAGCAGCTAATTTCAAGCAATACATCAAGTGCAATGTAAAGTGTTGGAGGAAGCGTAAGGTAGAGCAGTGGAGACAAATCAAAATACTCCATCTGGCAATTTGGTGGTAGCTAGGAGATCAGTATTTGCTTGACTTCTGTGCCAAGTTTAGTTTAGTGGAGGACACGGTGTTGGGATGCTTATCAGGAGTTGGACTTGGTCTGCTTTAGTTCCATTGAAAGGACCTCTGAATGCTTCAGCAGACAAATAGATTCTGGACTTTTCAATGTGGAGAAACAGTTTGGAGGTCCCTTCCTCTTCCATCACGACTGCATGAAGCATGGTCCACAAAGATAGATGAGAGAATCCCGACCTCAACCCATTAGAACACCTTTGGAATAAATACAAATCAGAAATACTTTAATAACCCCAAAGGTGATTAAATGTGGTACTAAAATGGTGTTGCTGTGTTTTTGTTATCTTTAGGCAGAAAGGATCGGTAGAGTTCAGTGTTTATCTGGAAAAGCCCTTGAATAAAGCCACTGTTGTTTAACAGTGAATTATTCTTTGTGAAATCATCAGGTTCTAGAACAGATCAGCAGCTCAGTTGTAATTCAAAAACATTTAATTCAGCAATTAAAGCTATAAACATGCTCCTAAATCATGTGGACAGCCTTTCTAGAGATGTTATGACGGCAAAGGGCGTAACAACCCAACACTCAACCCTGTAGATTAAGAATGAGATGTCATTTAAGATCATATTGTAAAGCAACGCAGGTGAACTAATACTTACAGTTAATATTGTGCATCTAGTCTATTTACTACCCAAAGGTTACAATGTTGGGTCTGCAAAGATGTTTGCAGTCTGTCTTCTAACCATAAACATGTCTACTTATTGGTCAGAGGTAAGAAAGGCCTGATAATCGTCTCTGCAGACCTGATTGCTAGTTGCAGTCTGGCCCAGTCATGTTTTGTGGCTGAGCAAGACCAGAGTAAAGGCTACATCCAGTTATCTGCCCTGACCCCAAACCAAATATGCATGTGTACAGTGTCTCATGAAGGTTTTACATTGAGCCCAAACCCTGCAAACCTGTCCTGCCCCCTGGAACAGGATAGGTTTGCAGAGATGTTTTCCTTGTACTGCCATTCATGTCTGTTTTTTAGACAGACAAAATGGCAATAATTCAGAATGAAGGTTATCAAATCGTGTCTACTTAATGCATTTCCTAAGCAGAACAGCATTCTGTTTCAATGTCTTCACTGATGAGGGGTGGACTCCTTTGGAGGTCACTCTTGATGCTCTTCCAATTGCTCTCTGTGTCGCTTTCTGCACCTTGCGATGGGATCACTAGGCCACCATTGTTTTTCAGTGTAATAAGCTGGTAGCTGTGTTAAAACGTAGATAGTAAAACATCTCTGATGAAATCCTCCTACATCTGCTCTTCAGCAGAGGACATCTTCACACCAGACAGGATGTCATCTTTTTATCTGCTTGTCCTTTCGACGTTTCGTGGACTTCGCAGAGTCTGGTACCTGCTCAGATTTAGCCTCCATTGAACATCGCCACCTGTGTAAAAAAAATAAAATAAAAAAATAAATTGTTACCTTTCTCTCCTTAATGTTTTTCATTCATTTACCGTTTTTTCAAGACTATAAGAGGCTGTTTTCCCCATACTTATACTAAGGTGTGGCTTTTCTGTGGATTTTTCCTAACCACCAGAGGGCGGTAGACAAAGTTTGAAATCATAGAAGAAGGGGACAATTTTCAATTAGCAAAAGCACATGCTAGCAGCAGGTGCAACAGAGAACAAAATGTCCAGAATGTACACATTTTGACATTTATTTGACGTATTAATACGGTCAAACTAATGTAGAGACTGTGCGTAACTTCTGAAGAGCTGAAATATAGAGCTGGCGAAGCCCCATCTTTCATTAAAAGCTCTTATTGTCACGAGCCAACAAGCTAATGGGAGCTATCATTCTTCTTCCTCTAGGGGTGATATGTAGAGCTCCCCCTACTGGTACAGTGGGGGACAGTTCAGTAGATATTGGCTTATAGTCAAGTACGGCCTATACAGACTCGGTCTGGTAATCTGTATTACTGGGCATTTGCCCCGTGGGCCGGCGAGCTGTTTTTATGTTTAACCATATTGAAAAGATTGAATTTTTCCGGTAAACGTCATTGAACCTCTACTGCGCATGCGGGACACTTGCGTTGTATGACTGCAGTTCACACAAGAGATCACATACAAGTCGCATATAGTTGGAAATATGAACGGTAACGCAAAAAAAATCGGATTTCACAAAAAAATCGGATTGAGCATCAAGACGTGCAGTGTAAACGTAGCTTTACTCTCCGGCCGAAGCACCTACCTATGAGAGTAAATAACTCAAGAATCTCAAGAAGTAATACAATCTTAACAGCCTTAATTATGCATGCAGTATATATATAGGCCTTCCTTGTCATGCACATCCTTGTGACGGTTGGCATATGGTGTATGTTTTTTCTTCAAACTGTAAAATCCTTGCAACAAACTAAATTATAATAAAAAAAATGCTTTCTTTACACCACACTAAGATGTTCCTCTTATATTTGGCGAATTTATGTTAGAATATTTTGCAAAAATATGTTGCAGTGCATGATGGGGTTTTGCATCTGTTTACATTATTCCATTTCATTGCCCACATGCCACCTAGACTCGCAGTGAATGCTGACACACCGCTGAGAGAAGAACTGCCTGTCTGCCTCTATATTGTATTGTTTTATGTTGATGTTTTTACAACACTTATAGTATGTATGTGTATGTGTTGGGTGAGCAGACGTCCTCTTTTTCCCGGACATGTCCTATCATTTAGACCTAAAAAAATGTCCGGGGGGCATTACAAAATGGTCCTGGGATTTGGTTGACTACAGTGCAGCACGTAGTTGAAACGGAGCTAGCGGGGAATGGAGCGACCGAAACTAACCCTGACACTACCCCCCCTTCAGAAACCCAAATCTGGTCACTCAAGTATGCGTGGGTGGGTGCCTGGATGGCTTTGTGCAAGTGTGGATGTTACGCATTTGCAGCCACTGTCCTTTTTAATAACCAAAAGCCAATAAAACCGCATTATAGAAGTCTTGGTGATGGTTGTCGTGTGATGCTTAAGGATAGATCGGTTGATCCACAATGTGTATTTGTATTGTGTTTCACAATGAGACGCATGCGGGTTGGGTGGGGGGTTGGATAGAAAAGTGCCAGGGCCGAAAATTGTTTCCAGTCCAAGCCTGGCCCCATATATGTGTTTCCAGTAAAACGTACATATATAGTGGGTACGGCTTACAGTGAGGTGCATTCTATAGTCTGGAAAATACAGAACCTAAAACAATAAATATCAGTTAGACAATATGAAGGCTACCTTTGTAAAGTATGTGGGTGTGGGAGGGGAAATTTTCCAGTCTTCCTGAGGTATTTGTACGCCTTTGGTCCGTGCACATAGAGCGTTAGGGCGAATTCTTTGTGCTCCTTTGTGTACTCATTGCCCTGCATCATGAAGTCCAGTTGAAGATCTGGAATTTGAAGAACAAAAATGATTATCTTCACATAATGGCCAAGGAGTAGTAGAATATGTGAACTTTGTAGTGCAAATCTCATATTACCTGAGTAGAATTCAAGCTTTTCCTTAAGCCCTTTATTAAGGAGTTTCTTTTCATTCAACTCCCCCAACAGACACTGAACTATGGTCCTTGCCCTCTTTTCCCTGGCCATGGCGTTTTTCCTCTCCCGCTCCAGACTTTCCACCCTCGCCAAAGCCTCCTTCAGTTTAGCCGTAACGGCAGTAAGAGAGGAAGGCAAAGCGTAGCAATGATCCTGGTGGAAAGATGGCGGAAGTTAGCACGCCGCTACAGCAGGGCTCCCCAAGGTAGTGGCCCTCAGACACCAAGTGGTTTTCACTATCACTTGTGTTGAAATACAGAAATATGAATGAAATAAAAAAAATTTACTACAAAATGAGTAGATATTCAGTAGGTTTTCATACGTCTTGTACTTTTACACATATAGGAACATTACAAACATATTTTATTGCAATTTTATATGAAATATCAACATAAATTAGTATACAGTTATGAAGATTTCTTTTTTAAATAAAAAACTAAAAATGGAATTGTGTAAAAAGTATTCAACCCCTGAGTCAATACTTTGTGGAACCCCCTTTTGTTGCAGTTACAGCTCCCACTATTTTTCGTTTGTCTTCATCAGATTTGCACGTTGTGTGACTGAAATCTTTGCTCATTCATTGCAGCTTGCAGAGCGTTTGTGAACAGCGTTTATTCAGATCTTGCCACAGATTCTCAATTGGTTTTAGATCCAGACTTTGACCGAGCTATTCTAACACATGAAGATGTTTTACTTGAAACCGTTCCATTGTAGGGAAAAGTTCTAAGTAAAGCTATACAGATCAAGATTTATGTTAAGGGTCGTTTTTCTACTGGAAGGTGAATCTCCGCTCCAGTCTCAATTCTTTTCCAGACTCCACCAGGTTTCCTTGTTAGATGGTTCTTTATTGGTTTCATTTCCTGTCCGCTCTGAAGAGAAGCACCCCCAGAGCATGATGCTGCCACCGCCCTATTTGATAGTAGGAATGGTGTGTTCAGAGTTGTGTGCAGTGTCAGTTCTTTGCCACCCATAATGGTTTGAATTTTGGTCAAAAAGCTAAATTTTAATACAAACAGGACTTCTTATGATTTCCTTATAAAAACGGCTTTCTACTTGTTACTCTTCCATAGAGACCTTATCTGTGCAGTGAATGACTAACTGTTGTCCTGTAGACAGGTCCTCCCACCTGAGTTTTTCATCTCTGCAGTTGGTCTAGAGTCACTAGGAGGCTCTAAGCTGCATCTCTGATCAATGCTCTACCTGGAAGTTTAGTTTCCTTGTCTTGGTCATTTTCTTCTGCTGCGTTATAACTTTTCTATTTCCAGGTGATGGATTGAATAGAGCTGTTTAAAGCTCTTTTTTATATTTTTATAGCATAAGCCTTTTCTAAACTTCCCCACAACTTTATCCCTGACCTGTCTGGTGCGTTCATTGGACTTTATGATGCTGTTTGATCCCTGATATTCTCTTAACCAACCTCTGAGGCATCACAGAGCAGCTGTATTTGTCCTGAGATTAGATTACACATAGGTGGACTTGATTTAGTAATTAGCAATCATCTCATCTCACCGTCAACAACCGAAGACATCTGGTTGACCCCGATAAAAGGGGGGTAAATACTTTTACAATCTCATGTATTGTTTTATATCTATTTCTTAATTGTATACCACCATGTGTTGGTCTTTCACATAACATTCCATTAAAATATATTTATGTTTGTGGTTGTAATGAGGCTAAATATCGAAAAGGAGTATTCATTCTTTTGGAAGCAACTGTAGATTATTCAAATAAAATAGTTTTACTTTGTGATTAATAATTTGACCATTCAATTATAAAATATACAATCAAATAATTTAATGTCAAGTTACAGGGTTATAACTGCATTTAAAATTACCAAAATAATAGAATTTACTTTATATGTATAGGTAAATCTAGAGTAAAGTAAATACATATATTTCTAGGTTGGAGCGTAATTGTTGCATAATTATTTTTGGATTCATAGGTAGAAATGTTAGAGAAACGCTGCACTAGCGTATCACTCAAGTTTTTTTTCTGCATAGCAGCAGAACTCTGCTCATGTCTCTTCAGTTATGGTTATGTTTTATGTGTGCTTGATATGAGCAGCTGCAAACAAGTGAGATTTTTATTTGGCTAAAATCAAAATAGAAATACCCACATCATTAGGCTGAGGTTTTGGGTGTGAGGTACACGTTTCTGGGGCCTCCTGAGAAGCCACAGGCGGAGTAACGTCAGCTGTTTTGACGATCACTGAAGTCCTGCACTTTTTTGGCTAAAAGGAAGAAGCATAATGAATATAATTATATACAGTATAATACAGTAACACAAAACACAGTGGGACATGTTTATCATCTAGTGCTTGATGATAAAATCTGTATAAATGATACACCTACTTCTTGGAGGTGATCTGGAAACCTGAATATCGATGGAAAAACACCATCTTTCAGGCGGACAATCTGACCCGTCCTGTCGAAATCATCCTGCTGAAAATGCTCGCTGCACAGCACGGATGTATCACTCGCAGTGAATCCCTCTCTCCTTAAAGACACTTCCCACTTCTTCCTCGCATTATTGTCTTTGGGAAACCTTCGAAGAGGAAAAAAAAAAGGAGAGATTTGTAAGTGTCTGAAAAAAAAGCTGATCATTCTCCTAATTTTTATAATTCATTTTCAAACAACCTTACTTCATCAAAACTCTCATTTAGTTGCTTATGTGTGGAAATTGTGATGCTTGTTTGAAAACTATTCCAGTCAGTCTTTAACGTCTCTATTTTCACAACTTTGTTCCTTCATCACAGCACAGAGATCAGAGTAGCATCTTATTTCCTCTCCCATTGGTCACGTCTTACTAAATAATTAATAAAAAAATAAAAAAAGCTTGTTTGCTCCCCTATAAAACTTTGATAACTAAGTAGGAGAGGTATCTCTATAAAATTATACACAAGTAACAACTGCTAATCACGTTCCAAAGTTCCAAAGTTCAATAAGGTAATTAATATAAATGGCTGCCTGTTGGACTCTTGCCCTGAAACTTTATTCCATCTTTTTCGGATCTGAAACAACACTAGAAATATGTGGGGAAATGATTTTCATTTCCTAATTGACGACATAAGGAAGCATTTTGTTTTCCATTGAAAGCATGTGGTTTTTGGTTTTCATATTTACCCAAAAGAGAAGAAGAATTATGTTATTCTTGTGAAATATTATATTCATAACAGTAAATTAAACTAAAAAGTTATTGTGCAAAAAAATGATTACTGTACTGCATATTTACTTATATATATTTCATTTTTTTTGTAATGGTGGGTTAAAATAAGATTTTCTCAAAGAGCAACCATTGTCAACTTTGGGGTCCTGACCTCAATTGGAGTTGCGAGATAATTTCTGGGCGTCGCCAAATCATTTGGAAAAATATGATGCTCTAAATTAATGTGTAAATTAATGTGAAAGTTTCAATAAGTATTTAGAAAAATTGAGACAAGCTGAAAAAATATAACTAGATCTGCCAGCCTTTCATCACCTTCACCACGCATCACCTGCCATCAAAAGCTGCCACTGATTTCCATTTCCATCCATATATCTGTGTGAAAAGATCTTTTCTGTGCTGAAATACATGACAATCATATGCAGATCACCACTCCTCAGAGATCAGAGCAATTTCCACTTGGCTGTTTCTAACCTAAAGCCAATAAGCTGCTCTGTTTAAAAACAAGCAGGCACAGCCGTCATGTTTAATAGTTGCAGAAAAACATCTCTGCTTTTGACCTTTAAAATTAAACACCAAGTGTTTTACAGTGTGTTTTGTTAAAGTTTAGTGCATGCTGTTAACATTTTATTTCATAGAAAAGAAAAGAAAATTTGCATTATTTTCATCACATGTTAACAGCAAAGTGATGGGATGTAGCAACCATTGTCGGTCTGTTTGGGAAGTTAGCCTCTTGATGCAGCTTTAAAAAAAAATCCAAGTGTGTTTTAAAGTTAAATGATAAAGAGACTAATAGCTGAAGTGAGTTAAGGCTTGTCTTATTATGTAAATTGACATAAATGAATAGCATTGCATGTTACATTGGGGGGTCGAGATACTTTAAGGTTGAGAAAAACTGCCATAGAAGACTGCAAGTCTGACAGACTGCAGTTTGGTTTACATGACATACGATATAACTCAGGTGGAGGCATCAAAAATCGCATAGATCAAAGACTAACTGACAACCAGACCACAGTTTGTGAGACTGAAGTCGGCTCTCTAACCAGTCACAGGAGCGCCACAGGGGACGGTACTCTCACCATTACTTTTTACTCTGTTCATTCTTCCAGTCCAAGACAGATAATGTCATTCACAGAAACACTGAAATTACTTTGTAATCATTAATAACGTGAATTAGCTACAATTTTTACATTTTATCCCGATACATTAATAAAGATGGTATATATCGCAATTTTTATAACAATATATAAACCTCATGGGATCTTGTTACTCTGCTGCGACTGGGACTGAAGCTGAGCTGTGGGACAATAGGCTCTTGGGCACTGCGCTGCCAACTAGTGGCTGGAGGTTTGACAATTACATAAAGTACGGCAACGCAGATATTTTGCATGCAAATATTTTCTACATTTATAAACCATTCAGCCATGTTTTGAATCAACACCAATTAAGACAACTTTTCATCATGACATAAAAATGGATGGGGTTGAGGAGTATAAAAACCTCTACTCTTCTATTCCACATTGAAATGGAAAAACCACTGTAGTGAGAAAGCACTGTACTTCTAAAGGAAGCTTAGGTCGTTTGGTGTTTGCAGCAAGATGCTAACTATCTTCTTTCATTTTTATGAGCTATTCTGGCATAATCTACTGAGTTATAGGCATCAGAGTAGGTGACTTAAAGGTCAGTTTCCTGAGTATCCTCTCCATCATCATACAACCACAGAGCGTCTTCACTCAGAGGCCCCTCCAGACCTTTGGTTAGACAGACCACTACAGGAGACAGACCTACTTCCTGCCATCAACAGCAACTTGTTGAAGAACGCCCTGAACGATTTACAACATTCAATTTCCTTTTGTGATTAATAAAATATATCTGAACTGATACTTTTTTTTATGAATGGCTCTTAATATCTCTGATCAAGTAATATGACTCACATATTCCTTTTAAACTTATGTAACTCAGATCCACACTTGCCAATAGATACTGCATATCATTTTTTTGTTTATCAGCACGTGTGTTTTACGTGCAACATGATGTGTAAATAGTGCAAAACAGAAGATGCATCTCTTTCAAGAGTCCTTATGTACAAGTACAGAGTTATGTAAGCCCTGAAGAGACCCGTTTTTCCCGAGGTTCAATTAAATCGTTGGAGAATCTTTAGTAAACAAACGATTTTCTACATTCTTTGAATACAATTTATAGCTTTTTTTTTGTAAAATAGTTTTTTGGTGCAACTGCCTGAAATGCAAAAAGCTATTCAGTTCATCTAATGTTAGCTGCATTCTTTAACCATCCATCCATGTTGATCCATCAACATGGATCTGTTGAAGTTGTGACTCAGAGTTTCCATTTTATACACTGAATGACTTATACTTCAAAGCACTTTGTCAGACATTGCAGGCCCATGCAGGGGCGTTGCCTTTTTGGACAAATTATTACTACTATTAATAAAACATCTCTCCACATTTGATTTATTAATATATTTTGTAAGAGAAAGAGATGAAAACGCTCCCCTGCACAGTGACATGCAGACAGTGGAGCCCAGAATGAGACACATTCATTTCAGATTTCAGAAGAGTTACTTGTCAATCAGATGGTAAAAAGGTACATCAGCTCCTTTTACAGATGTCGCATGAAACGCAGGTTTGCCTGCACAGACCTAAGAGTTTACTAAATAACAAAAACTCTGTGCCTGAAATTAAACACTCAGTATGTTTTAAAACATTTTTAAATCATCTTTTATTTTTTTATATCACAACATATCACGTGATATTTTTGTCATCTATCAGATTTTATAGAGATAATGTTATGGAATTCACGGGATTTATCAAATCCAATGAATTGGAAACTAATTTTTTATCTGCTGCTTTATTCTCTCTTCTTTTTTATAGTTACCATTTAACTTATAATGGATCTGTTTTTTTTCTGCATCATTTATGGCTTTTTATTGTTTCCTTTGGAAATCATCCTCTCAATACACACCTTTTTTTGCTATTTTTTGAGATGACTGCAGAATTATCCCTTAAAAAATAAAATAAAAAATAAACTGCAGAATTATCCCTTAAAAATAAAAAATAAAATAAAGCTACACTGCCTAGCATTAGCTTAATTTCTCATAGAAAATTATTTTTCGGCATAATTTTCTGCACTTTATCAGATCCTAAAAGACAAGCGGAGATGTTTCAACAGTGCAGTGTTGACAGTTGCTTTCAAAACCTTGTATAGTGCCCCTAGTGGCTAAATGTTACAGTGTTGCTTTAAATTAAACACTAGAAAAACTCTTAATTATACATCAGGAGGATATCTGATATTAGAGTAGATGGGCAATCTTTGGGAGATTTTCATGCTAGAGAGAGTGTGGCAAGCATGTTTAGCGAAAGCCAAAAGATGTAAATGACCAAACTACATGAGGGGAGTGACTACAATGGAGGATAGTCCATGCGACATTGAGGCATGAGATGTTCCCTTTAAAGGCCTTATATTATAATTTTTAATTTAGACTTTCGATATTTTTCTTTTTTATATTTCTCTGAATCTGATTAATGTCTAAATTCCAGGTCAGTGAAGCATTTAAAGGTCTTGAAGAATTAGGTATAAAATAATTATTACTGATCTCAGTGTTGTCCTTATAAATAGCAGTAAACCAGTGAACCGCTGTGTTAAATCTAATGTGGGTGTACCTAAAAAGAGAAGTTAGGCATCCTGTTAGACCCAGAGAAGATAGTTACGTTTAGAGGCTTGGGGAGAAGACGGTGAGGGAAGGATATCTTTTTATCTCTCCATTCAGCTTTTATCTTTCAGACAGTAGTCTGTTGTTGCACGATCCAGAGCGCTTTATTTATTTTTAGGGCCTTTATTACTGATCACTAAAAGGTTTTACAGTGTCCTGTTACTATTTCAACAGTGTCATTGGATGAAAATAAAATATGTGAGGTGGAATAAACCTCCAATTTACATATTTTGTTCATATGTAGCTCTGGTATCTCAGTACTTCTCTATAATGACATTATTATGGCTTTAAAATATCTCATACACATACATATGATAGTGTTCTAATGTTTAAAAAAGTTTGTCTCCATGCTTAAAATTTTATAATCCATTTTAGTACATTGAACTAATCCCATAGAGATTCTAGCAAATCTCTTTGTCTTTGAGGATCTGCGTCTTTATTGGTCTCTACATGGCCGTGATTTTTTTTTTTAAGTTGAGATCTTTGGAAATAAAATAACACTGACTAATAGAAGTATTTTCTGACGGGAGACAAAAAAAATGTATCATTGGTAGCAACTACAAGCCTCCAAAAACAGATATTTTTTTTCTTTAACATTTTAGGACATTTGTTTAATAAGGAAAGGCACTCTGTAATCCTTGATTTTTTTTTTTATTTATTTATTTATTTTTTTTATGCACTTTAATGTTTTTTTGGTACAATTGCAAAACAGACAACAGTCACTGAACATTCCAGAAACCATAATTGATTAGAATTTTTTGATTAGTTTAAATCATGTAACAAAATCTGGAATATTAATATATATATCTCATTACTTCTAAAAAAAAATGATTACAAAATGTTTGCATGCTGAATAAAAATCTAAACATAGGATATCGGATATCCATGCAAATATTTAATCCTATTAAAAGAAATCATTCCCAGGCAGTAAATAATATAGGAATACAGCAAAAAAAAAAAGGAAAAAAAATCCATATAATTTAGGCCCCATTGATAATAAAGAGTGGTTAAATTGGTGCTCAACACTATTTTATACAAATTCCTCCCATTTATGTTTTCCAAGATATTGAAGAAGCTTGTATGTAATAAATGTAATTGCTTACAAATTCTATCCTATAAAAATATCAATACTGATTTAGAGAAAATCACCACATTAGACCCAAACTGACCGGATTGTATTCATTTTGCTTCAAACAATGAATTTAGGATTGGATGGTTCTTAGATCTCTCCAAGCCTTTTGAGAGAAATGTTGAGAACTTGTTTCTAAAACTTCACAGATATAGATTCAGTTAAACTGTTTATCACTGGCTCATTAATTACTTGTCTGACAGAAAACGGTATGTCATAATAAACCATGTTTTAGAAACTAATCCTATAGAGTGTGAAGTACCACAAGGTTCGATATTGAGAGGCTTATTATTCATCAATTATATCAATGATCTTTCAACAGTTTCTTCGATGATCATTCCTATATTACTTGCTGATGATCCTAATCCGTTTACCTCCAGAAAAGATATAAATAATCTTAATTTGAATCAACCAAAGTATCTTCATATGTTGCCTATAGTCTATAGTATACGACATGACAAAAAAAATTATAATGATAAAATAAAGAGATGCATTGATAGTAAAGCAATATTTCTACTTGTTTTTTTGTGTGTTTGGACTGATTTTAAATTGTATTGAAAAAAAAAAAAACATACTGAAATGCATTTAAAATAACTTGATCAACTAGAGTCATCAGCAATGTAAAACACCATAAAATATAAACATCTACCAATATTATACTCCAGATTAATCTATCCAGACTTAAAGGTATAGTGGAGGATGTTCTTTTTCCGGCTGGATCATCAAAATAAGTGGTCCTCCTACTTGTCAATCATTCTGGTGATATGTTTACATAAAGCCGTCCTACGTGTTCGTCCTCATTTTCACTTACTTGTGGCGAGTCTGAAATAGTGGAAATATTGCAAAACTTCTTTTGGAAAGTAAGCTTGTAAGATTGATGCAAACAGCAATAGGCGTTCCCTTTAAGGACTGGGTACAGGGTGGAGAGGGTGGGTCTTTTAAAAAATTCATGAAAATCCTCGGCCATACCTTTAATGTATTTTAACATCATGAAGGGAAATATATTTACCACTTACCTTTATAAAATGTTCCTTTTGCAATATAGATGATGCACCCTTTTTTCCCCTTTTTTAAAAATGTGCCTCTTTCACATACGTATGTTGTTTTATTTTTTCATTTTAGCCTGCATGTTTTTACAGAGCACTGTATAAATCTCTACAAACTATAACTTCACAAAGCGGCACAAAGCGACTTCTTATCAGCGTCGTATCTGATTTCATTAAGATTAATGCTGGAGCAATATAATTGTCCTAATTAAATTTTGCACAACTTCATCCCCATTTGATCAAGGTTTGAATCGAAAGCTGATAGATGATTATATACAGATACATTATATTAGAAATCAGTTATATTTAATTAATTGTTTTAATTTGTTAAGTTAAAAACCACAGCAGTAGCGTTCTTCTTTTGGTTTTGTTTTAGGAGTGGTGCTTTGATAAGTCGCCTTTATCGCTCTCTTGCAAATGTTTATGCTGTTATTGCATTTTATAGTCCTTTGGTTGTGGATGTTTTTCTTTTGTTTCTTCTTTTTCTTTCTTTAACTGTACAACTTTTTAATAAATAGTAATTGAAATAACTGCTAAACAACTACAACAAATTCATTATGAATACTTAAAAAAATATGAATCAGTCTTGTCGTTAAGAGATTCAATCAAAATGCAGATAAATGCAGAGGCTTTCTTTAAAATGTTGAGTTTTCCACATCAGGAACAAACGGCGCCAAACTTATCGCCGCAGGTTTGCTGACGGAGGAACTGCGGCTTCCATTGCAGTTTCCCTGGCAACCGTTAACAACAACAAAAATGTGAGATTAACACGTTTTTACTAGCGAGATGCAGAGATCTTTGAGAAAACCGATAGACAGAAAAGGTGATCTAATAAAACGAATAATGATCATCTTCGCAGGGATGGATATTAAAGTGAAGCTGGAATGCACAGACATGCGAATTAAAAAAAATGCTTTACTGAGGACGTGGCGAAAGATAAACACTTTAAAAGGAAGGAGGTCAAAGGGCTATGACAGGGAAGCAATCAGTTATAGCAATGGTAGCCACATTTTATACAAATACCTAAAGGTGTTACTTAACACATGTTAGCTAAAGTGAAAAAAATAAATAAAAAATAAATCTTTAATGGTAAATTGTATATATTTTACACTAATAAGTTTGTATAGTTTTGTTCTAATTAGTACGCAGGATTGCTACTGTCATATTTCAGTAAATGTCATGTTATACAGTCAGTGTACCATTAATCTAGGTCAAGGTTCATTTACTAAACTAGTCATTTTTCTGTTTAGAACTCAAAGTTTATGTTATGCATAAGTTTATTTTCTGTTTCTTTGAATTTAAGAGGTCTCAGGGATGATGAGAAAGATAAAGGGTTAAAAAAATCCCCTTCGTTATTAGAAACTGACTCCTGTGATGCTGATGCCACCTTTTGGTGAAACCAATGAGGAGGAAAAAAATATGCAGCCATGGTACCAATCACTCTGCTGGACTAGCTTTTTCCTTTACTACAGTTTTTAACAGGAAGGTAGTGATTTTCCAGTCAGATTGTCCAGGACACTGGCTGGCAGCTGTGTTACGTATAGATCAGTCATTTCTAATACTATTGAACGGTACGTCCCTGCACCTCAGAACAGGCCGGAAAAGATGTTTTATCAGAATATAAACTATCATCTAAATCAATCTAAAAAGCATTTTCCAATTGCACATTTTAAATTGAGTCATTAAGGAGGAAATGTAAATTGTATTTATTAATCCATTATCTAATGTTGGTTTCCAGTGTGTTCGGGTACTAGGGGGGTAATGGAAGAGGGTAAAAGAAAAAAGAAACCTTAACTGTAAAAAGGATTTAAAAATTCAAGATGAGAAAGAAAATGGAATAAGGAAATACCTTTTTTAAATGTGTTATTAGAAAGGTAATTATAATCAGATTTATGAAATGTGTTGAATGTCCATTTATAAATAGGACTCAAAAAAACATTTTCAATTTGCAATATTTAATAATTGATTTATCAATACAATTTACAATTTCTGTTTAATAATTCAGCTTAGAATGTACAATTGGGAAACAGTTTTTAAACTGGATTTCTAATAGTATGAGTTATGTGGTTAGTTGGAAATGGCTGTTTTTGTTTTTTAGTGACTCCCCATGTCCTCCAGATTATATTCTTTTAGGTAACCTACAGATCCAAAACCACTTACACACACTTCTCAACTATAGCTTTATATAATCTGTAAATCTTTTATCTGCTATTATCTTTCACTATCTACCTTGTATTATAATCCCACTAATGTATATTTATAATCCATATCCTAACTTTCATCTATAACCTTTATATAGCTTCCATTTCTATTGAGTTTATAGCCTCTTTCAATTACTCTCTAATATATACCATTTATTGGCAATACATAGTCTCTGTGCACATGTAGAGAAATATTAATATCCTTTATAGCCCTTATGGATAGATGCAAACTATTTTTTTTTTTTTTTGCTTTATACTTGTGACAGTGTAAATACAATAAAGTTAAGTTGTATTCTAGTCTAAATAATTGGAAGTACAGATATCCTCCAAAAACTAAAATCCAAAAATGAAAATTCAATTCTTTTTTTTTTATTCAAGTAATCTAAATTATAAATTTAGAGAGAAAAACTCTAGGATTAAGCAACTTTCTTGGTTCAAGATCTTACTGTAGAGACCTATTTAACATATCTCCATCTCAACAGATCCCTGCTTTATTCTAAAGCTTAACCCTGAAATTAAATCACAATTTAGAAGAGATTATTGGACATTTCAATCAGAAATTTGGAATAAAAGCGGATATGCAGGGTTTATGCAGGAATGAGTAACTCTAATTTAATGCTTTTTAATTCTCTTAGAAATAATTTTAATGCCATCAACAAGTACCCATGACTCATATATATATATATATATATATATATATATATATATATATATATATATATATACACATTTAATGAATTTTAATGCCAATTAAGGCCTTAATTTAAAAAAATAATAATTTCATGACTTAATGATTTTTAATGAACCGCAGAAACCCTGATATGTTAAAATTGTTAAATTACTTAAAACATCAAAATCATAGTAATGAAACTATTATCATGTGAAGATGGGAATTAATGTCAGAAAATAAATGACATTTAACAAAATAATAATATGATATTAATAGATAACAGATAGAGAATCTTTTTTAAAACAACTATATGAATCAGGTTATTTGGTTGGTTCTACATTCATAAGACTAATTTGGAAATCCTTTTTTACTTAATAACCTGCAGTTTCTTAGTGTGTGTTACTAAGTCCTGCTTATGCTGGTCTGGTAGCGCATGTCGACACACCGGAACCAAACAGAACATTGGCTGGTATTCCGCTGATGGACAAATAGAAGTACAACAATAATATTTTCACCAAATGCAAACAACAATATGTTTTCTTACTTGTGAAATGTTATCCCCCGAGCCCTAACGTCAGCCTTTCGTCGATTTGAACACAATAATGCCGCGCAGTGCTGAGGCATTTTCAGCTGTTTTGGTAGAACCAGAATAGTACGACCGCTCAAAGATGGCGGCGGCAACCTCGGCAATGCTTTGTCTTCTTCTACAATTCTATAGCGGTTGGTAAATAACTGTTGATGCGCGTTATCGCCCCCAGCTGGTATGAAGTGTGAACCGGGACAATAAAAAAATAAAACAAAAACATATTCTTTCAAGTATAAAATAAACATATATATAGTAGAACTGTTAGCTCTATCTCTATATAACAATCAGATATTTAATTTCTCTGTGAAAAATGAAAAGCATTTAACCTTATTTTAATTTTGGAGAAATTGTAAATTAGCAGAACTCTTTCAATGCTTTATTTCTTAAAATATTTAATAAAAAAAACTTTAAGAGTTTCATTTCTCAACAGTAATTACATAAATATGCATCACGTGTTCTCCTACTAAACCATCAGCCATTTGTTTCCTTTTCATATTATTGTATTTGTAGTTGGTAATCACAAATAATCATTTAATTTTTAAGCATATCTTTATTACATTTTTCAACTTATACAGGCAACAAAAACCCCACACAGTGAAAGACATAAAAAGTAAAAATAAATAGAAATAAGTAAGTCAATAAATAAAACTAAATCAGGGAAACCTGTAACAATATGTTCCTAAAAGAATAATAAAGAGTACGGATACTACAGAAAGAAAAACAAAACAAAAAGAACCTGAAAATATTAAAGCTCAGATTATTAATCAATTAAAAGGATACATAAGCAGATATCCAGGCATTACAGTGTCACTACAATAATTGGTTGAATACTCACTGAAGTATTGTTCCTTCCAGGAATCTTAGACCAGATAAGTCAATAGAGTCCCTTCTGTTTAGTCCGTGCACTCTCTATGTCAATGTAATCTAAGAATGGATCCTATGTTTTGTAAAATAACAGAGGTTTGTCCTTAATCCAGTGGGTCATTGAACATCCAGCAGTCTCCGCATATAAGGATTTATGTTCAGTGCTGGATGTAAACCATTTAATTTTAAGGGACATACCTGAAATTAAAATGAAAGCTTAAACTAAGGTCATGAAAATAGTTTAAACATTTGAACTAAAGTCCCAAAAATAATATGTTTGACATACCTCCTAAACTTTCAACAAATTATAATTGATTTTGGCCTTTGTAATTCATTATATCACTGAATTCAGAATAATAATTTCACCACCAGATAAAAAGGTTTTCACGAATCCTGTTTGGAAAACTCCTGCTCAGTGTAAGACATGGAGGGACAGGTAGATATTTAAACACACCTGCTAACAAATGGGTTTAAATTTTTAACTGGCCTTTTAAATTTGTACAAACTATATATCCTGTAAAGACATTAAGCCCGAGTTTAAAATTGAAAATTTGTACTTGTTTAAAAAAAAAAAAAAAAAAAAAAAACTTCTTCAGAGGAAAATTTATATTTTGTAAAAATAAATAAAAACAATAAATTTTATCAACAGACATTATATAAATTAAAACGTTTTCCTCCAAAACTGCATTTAATTATCTCTCGATTAAAATTTTTTGTAACACACCATTAATTAAGGACTACAGAAAAAGGTGTGTATCCGGGGTGGGGCTTAGAGTTGATTGACAAGCTCTTTGTCCAATCAGCGCAGCCATCCTGTAGCTCGTACTAGCATAGCAAAGATGGCGTAGGAGCGAAGGATGGAAGGAGGAGAGGACCTTCTTCTCTCCCCTTTACCGTGTCTAGGAGCGGAGGGAAGGGGGTCCGAAACTTTTAAGCTGTCCTTTCAATTTGCGGCTGTTCTTATGAAAATAAAACCCGGCGGTCCTGTAGGTGGAGAGGACTCCTAATATGGAACCGCAGAGGAAGGATCCCCCCGGCTTTTGTTTACCATTGTGTGCAGCTGCATGATCCCAGAGGCAAAGTGGAAATATCTCTGCATCGCTCCTCAGGTGAGGGCTTCACTCAACATTTCCCTGTGAATTTTCTTGATCTAGTTTTATTTTAAGTATTACAACTGTTCAGTTAATTATATTACAAATAAAGGTGTTAGTCCTTTACTATCAGTGTTTGCTTATAGATTTTGCAAATTGAGATCAGTTCACTTTATCAAATAGCATTTTTCCAGAGGGGGTTCGTGCATGAACAACACTCCTGCAAACGGTAAATAAATATTTGAATAAAACATAAATAAATCATTATATCTGTATAATATTAACCATTTAAAATGATATATATTATATATAAAAATTTGGTTTTGAATCAGATAAAACAATTTTTTGCATCTTAAACTCCACTTTTCTTGCTTTTCTCAGTTTATTACAAAGCACAGCGATTTAAGAAAAAATTCTGGCATGTAAGAGATCCAGATTCACATTTTGTTTGTTTTTGTGTTTTTAATCACACAGGGCTGAATGTGTTTTTCCCTTTTTCCTTCCTTATGCAGATGCATTATTGGTGATTCTCTCAACCATCAAATAATTTGAGTTCCTGGCAAAAACAAAACCCCCTTAGTCATTCTTTTGCTTTACTTACTTGATAAACTTACAAAAAAATGTTTTTAGATAAACTACAATATCTATTAAAAACAAAAATATGGTTTTATATCGAGAGTTTTTGCTGTATGTCATTTGCCCCTTTTTTCCCCTCAAAAGGCTGAAATTAATTTTTATTCAGTAGTAACTATATTGACAAATGGGACAGGAATTCCTAATTTTAATGAAAAACGTAATCTGCTTTAAAGATGCATAAGTAATATGTTTTCTTAAAGAGCACACCTGTCCCTAGATATTAATTACATTTCCTCCCAAAATGTAACCTTTTCTCCTTGCAACTGCATCAGTTGTGACGTAACAGGAGAGTTTGTGGCAGGATAGCAGTGAGCTCCATGAAAGGAAGGGAAAAGGGGGAAAATATCAAGGAAAAACTTTGAAAAAAAGTTGTAGGTTTATTGGTTTGTGTCTCATATTGAGTTTGTGTCTCGTAAGGAAATGAAAAATGAGAAAAATGCAAAAATACAATTTGACGTTGTGCATTTTGAGTATATGCTAACTCTAAAACAGAGATTAGCGTGTTAATTTGTCATGAGATGATAAAAGAAATGCTGAATATTGTCATTTCTATCTCTATATATACTACATGGTATATTTACGCAATTTCATTACAACCACTATCAGTTAACATTTATAAACATTGTTATAAAGCAAAACAAATCAAATTATTTCTAAAAATATATGTTGGATTTTTGTTTTGTGAACAACTGCACAAAACAGGGCTAAGCTCCCCACAGCGTTTATAACATTAACATCTATTTTTTTATGTAGAATTGCTATTCGTCTTGCAATGAAACAGAATCAAACTGTCATAAAACATCACTTTGAAATTATGTTTACAGGTGAGATGAAGTGACCCAGGAGAAGATTCAAAACCACCAACATGACTCCTCCACTTCTGCAGAGTCCTGGAGAACAGCAGATAAGATTACCGGCCTTCACCGCCTTTCCTCCTGTTTTTGTGGGACACTGGACATCTCTTCTGCGGCAGCCCCTCTTGTTCAGACCTCTTTCTGCAGCCTGATCGCTGCTAAGGACAGCTTCCCAAGAATTAAAGTCATCCAACCTTGTAGATGAAAATCACAATAAATAGCCTCATGTAACAGCAGCCCTGAAGCTGTTTGATTGGCTTGAAGGAATGGGTCAATCTCGGCCCGTTATGCATCTAAACAAGGTTGTTTATTTCCCCAAAAAAAACAAAACAAATATCTCAAGGTTTGATCATGTAAAAGGTAAAGACACAACATACTGTAGCAAAGATCAGATGCCTGTGATTCAAAGTGAGATTCATTGATTCATTCTTTATTTAACTACCTCATTGCCACAGCAAGTCCAACAGGGTGGAAAGGAGTGTTTTCTGAACAAGGAGTCATTTTACTCGTCCATCAGAGCTTTTATTATCGAAACAATTTAGTTGACAGGTTGGTAGAAAATATGTATGCTGTTGCATATCTTCATCATTTATCTTTTTTTGTTTTGTTGGTTTTTAGATGGAGGAAAATGGATGCTTTAAACCTATTTGCAGGTATATTATCACACAGAAGGAACACCTTCATTAAAACTATTGTGATTTTACAGTATTTATAGAATCATTAGAAAGAATCAGCTTCTAAAAAATCAGGTTAAATGAGAAGCTAAACTTAAGTTTCACATATGTCAGCAGAATTTGCCATAATTTCTACCAGATTATATTTGGCAACACGTTTGGGAGGGGTATGGCCCCATCACTCCACACAGCTAAAGAAAGTCTACATCCAAGGAAGATTCTTTGAATTTTAAACCCTTTTATGTTTTTTTTTATGACATTTAATTTAGACATTTAGACAGTATTTTCTAAATTCCAGTTCCTACCTTTTCTTGTCTTTTTTTCCATTTGGGACTTCCTGTGCGTTGGTTTTTTAGGTCTGCAAGCGGAGACAAATTAGGCAGCAGTGCTCATTTGGGTCACTCCCTGTGAGCAAAGCGGGACCCGTTTTTATCCTGCTCCCAAACCGTGGTCCAGCTTTAGCTCATCTCACAGAAGGTTTTAATTTTATCTGACCTTCACCAAGACAGGAGGAGCTGCAGTTTAGAAATAGTTACCCATTTGATTTCCTTTTTTCTTTTTGTCATAGACATGTATAGAAAAAAAGTTACACTTTTACCGGGATCTGTGCAATATTTGATCTTAACTGTCATGTTGTTGACCAAACTGTATATTGTATAAACAAGTGACAAGTTGTTTGAAAGCAACAAAATCACCAATGTCTTCCATTAAGATATGTATAGACTCATGTGTGTTAGCTTATTTAGCGGGACTGTGGTGCCAACATTATAATAGCCATGCATGACCAGTAGTAATGCTTGCTTCATCGAGAGTATTGACTTGTAGGCGGAGCTGAAGCTCAAATCTGTGGAGACCATCCCAGTTGAAACTGGTGAATATTAGACTCCTAAACTACACCTTTAGGTTTGTCTAATCGACATATTGCTTTAACCTAACAGGTAGCGCTTGATCCCTGCTTTAAAGCATTTATAT